ACTAAATAGAAATTAATTGGAAGTCATGTCAGTGAGTTCTCTTTTTAAATTTATTATAACTGTATCGAGGCAATTGCTTAGCTCTTAAAAAAAAATATTAGATAAAAGTGTTTTATATCGTCATAATATAAATATTAACAATTATTATTCACTTATTATTTTGTAAAGAACAAAAAATAAATATATTTTTTTTCATAATAATAAAGAAATTTATCATTTTATCGGATTACAGTAAAAAGTAAATAAAATGCGTATTAAGACACCTCTAAAGACACCTGGTTAAAGATTAAATAAAAAATCAATAAATAAAAAAGCTTCCGAGACATTGTACCAGTAATCCTCTCGGCCGGATAATAGGAAGCACTTCAGCCTATCGACCCGTTATTTAAAAAAAATCACCCCATTGTATTGGCAACCCTCGATAATTATTATTTTCGTAGTTGGCGACACTGCGACGGACAATGGCGTCCCTTCGCACTTCCTGTTTGCTTTCGCGCGCTATTACACGTCAATGCCCCGCGGGCCGATAGGCCAATTTGAATTTCGAATTTGGAATAATGGATTCCTTTCACAGCCAACTATTGGGTGTAATTTTGTTTTTCTTATACTCGTCAGCGAGCAACAGTATAATGGCCAGTGTTTATAATTCATTGGCGGCACTTTGTTGCTATTGTAAACGATACAATTTATCGCCAGTGTCTGAAAGATGCTTTAAGTTCTCGATAACTATTTATTATTCCGTACGCCGCCTGCGCTAATGGGATACGTTGGCGGAGCACCAGTGAAGGGTGATAGATGAGAATGAAAACAGGCCAGTTAGCCCATCATGATGAATTAATCAGGAATTAACCGTGATAGTTTCCAGGGAGAACCGCGAGGATGTCGACCTGGTTGGGTATATTGCTAGCAATGGGATTCTCAGTCTCCATTACTAACAATCCCTTTCCCCCGAATTCCGTACGTATTAGGTACTGGTACATTCGCTCTATACATCTTGACGTCTATTCACACGTTATAACCCATAAATAAAATTAATATTGTTTTTTCGTTAGGATCGTTCTGTGAATTTACTGGGTACGGAGGAATAACACCTGAGTCCTCAGGAATGACAACGCATGGGGTGTATCATGGGCGAAACAGTACACTCTGTTATGTCCATGGTACAGCTCATGTCTATAGGCGACGGTTACCACTTTCCATCAGGTGGGCCGTCAGCTTGTTTGCCATTCTAAGTTGTATAAAAAAAAAATCTGTCAATAATTAAGATTGTGTACCACAAAAGGAACGGTTGGAAAAAACAAAGATTAGATTGCTTCCTTACACTTCATCACAAACTACAATTCTACGACACCAGTATCCATTGCCTGATAGAAATTTTCAACCGATTTAAAAAAAGGAAAAGGCCCTCTTAGGTGTTTTATAATTTTTTAAAAGTTAGATTAAGTTCATAATAAAACAATGTATTAAGAAGCCGCGTCATTTTCATTTTCAAAACAGATCAAACAAAAATATTTCCGAACGTTAATTGCCACAATGTTTGTTACTTTATTGTTGTTGTCAAAACTCCCGTCAGTTGTAGACCGATTTGAAAAATTCATTTTTTTTTTGTTTTATTTTACTATTATTATTATCCGAAAAGATATATTTACAGATTGCTCCCGTAGAAATTTTATCAAAATCGGTCCAGCAGTTTACTTTTAAAATAAAAATATCGGGTTTCGCCAGAATTGAAATCGGTTTTTTAGTACAACAAATTCTTAGTTATCATCACTCTGTCTAGTGGGAGGTCGCCCACACTACGTTTGCCTATCCAGGTTATTCGATTTTTTTGTGGAAAACAATCTTAAATTACCCATGTCTTTTTCGTACATTTTATATTTTTTTGTACACGATGTGTGCCAGAGATAGGAACAAATAATTTGCCTATCTTTCTAAACGGCCAGCGTTTCAATATCTAGTTACCAAGTAATACAATTTTAATTGGCGTTTTGTCATAACAATTATATTGCTACGAACGGGCGCCATCACTGTCAGAACACAAACTATTAGACGTCAAACAGCAAAACGCGGTTATTAAAAATTAATCCGAACTGCGCGCCGCGCCGGGGCCCGGACTATAATTGGGTCACGTGACACACCGCCCGCTCGCTCCCTGTATTATTTTACCCGACTTCGACAAGAAGAAGGCACTCAATTCGTCTGATTTTTGTAGGTAAGTTACGCGATTTCTACACAGTTGCCTGTTTACAAAAGTTGCCAGTTACTCAACGAGCTACGAGAGGACTTTTTTTTAATGGCTGACAATGGTATGGTAACCCTGTTTGCGCTATCGGTATACACTGGCCGGGCACCAGTGGTAGACGACCGGTGAGGATGAAAGCAGGTCAGTTAGCCCATCCTGACGAATTCGACTAGAATTAGCCACGATGATTTTCAGGAACCACCTGGAGGATCGACCTGACAGGGTATATTGCTAGTAATGGGGGACCAGAGGGAGACTTTGTACAAAAGTCGATTGCTTGGGTACCTCTGTCCCATTGGTCTTTCTACTGTGAAGCAGTTGTGTTTGCATGGCTGTGTTTCGGTTTGAAGGGTAGGATATGGCGTGTATTTACAGGGTACAGAGGAATAACACCTGAGTGCTCAGGAATGGCAACGCATGGGGGTATCATGGGCGAAACAGTACACGGTTATGTCCATGGTACTGCTCATGTCTATAGGCGACGGTTACCACTTTCCATCAGGTGGGCCGTCAGCTAGTTTGCCATTCCAAGTTGTATATAAAAAAAAATTTGACTCCATTACTAGTAATCCCTTTCCCCCCGCTATGAAGAGGACTGTACTTGGAGTTTTTAGTCATAACAAAATCCAAAATGAGGGCATCCGCTGAAGAACTAAAGTGATTGACATAGCACGAGGGATAAGAAGACGGATGTGGCAATGGACAGGTCACACAACTCGAAGAACCAACAACCGATGAGGAAGGTTCTCGAGTGGCGACCCTGTATGCGAAAACGCAGTGTAGAACGAACCCCTACTACATGGAGTGACGCCTTCAAACACATTGTATACGAGGTCTGTCCGGAAAGTTCGTATAAAAGTGTTCTGGAATGCGAGAAAGAGGAGTGGGGAGGCCAGGTAAGCGCAGGACCCCTTCCTTATGTCCCTAACAATGCTTCAGTTCTGGTCTGACCGCCGTGCGGTGCGAACTGGCTTGTCACGCCATCTGTGAAGTTACCTCTTAACGAAACCCCGTCGGCATGGAGCCCGCTTCCGTTGAAGAGCAGCGCGTCGTAATCAAGTTTCTCTCGAAACTCGGCAAGAATGGCCGTGAAATTTTTGCCGATCTCAGAACAGTTTATGGGGATGATGCTGTGAAGGAACCAACCGTCCACAAGTGGCTAAAAAGATTCAGAGAGGGCCGAGACAATGTTGATTGTTTTTTTCGATGTTCGGGGGATTGTCCATCAAGAATTCGTCCCTCCAGGCCAGACAGTTGATGGAAAATTCTACGTCGATGTGCTCAGACGCCTCAAAGCTCGTGTGGCACGAGTTCGTCCAGAATTGGCGCGAGAGGGGCGTTGGATTCTTCACCACGACAATGCCCCTGCCCACACCTCTCTTGTTGTCCGTGAGTTTTTGAGTAAAAATTCCATTACGGTGACCGAACACCCCCCCCTATTCGCCGGATTTGGCCCCGTGTGACTTCTTCTTGTTCCCAAAAACCAAATTGGTACTTCGGGGGCGGCATTTGGGGGACATAAATGAGATAAAAAAAGCTACGACGGGGCAGCTGAGAAACCTACAACCAGAGGACTTTCAAGGAGCCTTCTCACAGTGGAATCGGCGTTGGCACAAGTGCATTATGTCACAGGGGGAGTACTTTGAAGGGGATAAAATTGATTTACCTGAATAATTGTAAAATAAAATTTTTAAAAAACTTTTATACGTACTTTCCGGACAAACCTCGTATTATGTAGTCATAAGAATAAATAGACTGGGCAGAAGTCACTCATAGACTCCTTTGGGAATACGGTAACACTGCCAAAATGTGGTCTCCTTCCTTCTAGACGTATGCAGACATACGTTGGGAAGTTTTGTGACGATCCTTGCAACGTATTTGAGGTTTGAAGATAGATAAATATATTCACATGTAACATATTTATTATTATTTTAGATATAACTGTCCACTGCCGGACATAAGCCTTCCCCGTAAGGGTAGTTTTGCCAGAAGCTGCCACGTTTGGCAAACGGGTTGGCAACCGCAGTTAGGCTTTTAGAGATATTTTGAGAGGGACACTGCTGCCCATCCCTCGCCCTCCCTTAGTCGCCTCCTACGACACCCACAGGAAAGGAAGGGATGGCCCATTCTATGGCGGGACCACACGGTAAAGTTTAATAATATGTAACACAATAAATTAATAATTACAAAACTAAGATAAACAGGCAACAATGTGCAGTCTTAGCGCTAAATATCAGTTAAATAAACGGCAGTATCAGTTCTATGGCCGTGTGGTCCCGGCGTAGAATAGGCCACCCCTTCCTTTCCCGTGGGTGTCGTAAGAGGCAACTAAGGGAGGGCGAGGATGGGTTTTTTTTATGGGTGAAAATGGTATGGTAACCCCGCCTGCGCTAACGGGATACGCTGGCGGAGCAACAGTGAGGGGTGATAGATGAGAATGAAAACAGGCCAGTTAGCCCATCATGATGAATTCATCAGGAATTGACCATGATAGTTTCCAGGGAGAACCGCGTGGAGGTCGACCTAGTTGGGTATATTGCTAGCAATGGGATTCTCAGTCTCCATTACTAACAATCCCTTTCCCCCCGGCGAGGATGGGTAGTAGCGTCCCTTTTAAAACATCCCTGAACCCTAACTGCGGTTGCCAATCAGCCTGCCAAGCGTGACAACTACTGGCAAAACCCACTAAGAGGAGGATTATGTTCAACAGTGGATAGTTGTAGCTAGATATTTATTGCTATGGTGTTGGCAAACATACCTGGCGCCGAGTGTTGTTGCGGCGGCGGCACGCTGCTGTAGGCGCGCTGGCGCGGCAGCTCGTGGCCCAGCATGCGGTGGCCGGCCGCCTCCAGCGACGCCACCGTGTTCGACCGCACCATGCCTGCGCATACGCACACACACACACATACATATACTGTATACATACATATAGTGTCTCCATACAAAAATTTCGAGAAACGCGGGTCAACTTTTTCATACACTTTTGCGTGATAAATAGTTTAGAAATATACGTTTCCTTTATTACTTGTATTTTTTTTTTTATAATTTTTGCATCTTTTTAATGCGTAAAAACTCATTTTATTTATTAAATAATTAAATATAGATACGTCAAGATACATTGTGTGCGTAAGTATATAGAACACTGATAAAAAAAACGAGTCAGCTAATTTGACAATTAGCTGACAAAAAGTTGACCCGTTTTTGAGACTTGATACTCTATATAAGTATATATTGCTTACAAAAAAAAAAAGCATCGAGATGGTGCGTTCAAAAGAAATCATGTTCATAAGTGACCATAAAATGTCCTATATTTTTTTTAAACTACTATAGTGGGCAAACAAGCATACGGCCCGTCTGATGGTAAAAGAGGTCATGGTAACCTATGGACGCCTGTAACACCAGGGATGTCACGCGCGCGTTGCCGACAAATATGAATAATTATATAAACAAATTATTTTTAATATATAATTCTTGATTTTTTTTATCTTTGGAAGTTTCTTGAACGCATAGTTTCATTAATTTTAATAAAATTTTATTAATTAATTTATTTTCAATAGTTTCTTTAACAATAATCGACAATTCATAGATACCCAAATTTGTTTTTAAGATACTAAGAATGGCAAAGGAATTTTTTTTTTATACAGCTTAGAATGGCAAATAAGCTGACGGTCCACCTAATGGAAAGTGGTAACCGTCGCCTATAGACATGAGCAGTACCATGGACATAACAGAGTATACAGTTTCGCCCATGATACCCCCCATGCGTCGCCATTCCTGAGGACTCAGGTGTTATTCCTTTGTACCCAGTAAATTCACGCCATATCACGCCACGCCCACCCTTCAAACCGAAACACAGCCATGCAAACACTACTGCTTTACGGTTGAAACACGAATAAGACAGAGGTACCCAAGCAATCGACTTTTGTACAAAGTTTCCTTCTGGTAAATAAATAAAATATTCTATATTGTAATGTAGAATAAAATATTAAATTATAAAATACTAGCGACCCGCCCCGGCTTCGCACGGGTGCAATGCTAATACTAAACATACTACAATACATATGCTATAATACAATTTCGAATACATATATATTTATTTTATCGTAACATACTTGTAAGTACGATAAAATTACCAGTGTTCCTCTACTATATTATGCATGTATTATACATATAAACCTTCCTCTTGAATCACTCTGTCTATAAAATAAAACCGCATCAAAATCCGTTGCGTAGTTTTTAAAGATCTAAGCATACATAGGGACAGACAGACGAGAAGCGACTTTGTTTTATACTAAATCAAGTTTACAATATCAATTTTTTTGGAGGAAGCGAAAATGGCCTGTTCGAATCGAAGCATTTGGCGTTCCATTGTTTCTGCCTACTCCAACGGGAAACAGGCGTGATGGATATGTATGTATGTTAGACTGACCGATCTGCGGCCGCCAGTTCCTGTTCTGCTCGTGGCTGAGGTTGCCAGGCTTGAGCACGCGCGGCGGCTCGACGGCGTGCTTGAGGCGGCGCGCCGGAAACACGAAGTCGTCAGGGTACTGCGGGTCCTGGAACCGCACGCACACCACCTGGTTGCCCAGCACCGGCCGCAGACCGATCACGGGCGACGACAGCTGCCTGTGATTAGGGGGGGGGGGCATTAGTAAAGAAGACTGATAGCAATTGGAACAGAGGTACCCAAGCAGACAACTTTTGACAGAGTCTTCCTTTTGGTGAATCTGTTATGATGTAGCAGCTATTTAGCCCCAGCAGACATGTACTAAACTAATACCCAGCCGTGTAAATACTACTATTTCACGGCTGAAACACGATTGGGACAGAGGTACCCAAGCAGACGACTTTTGTACAAAATCTTCTTCTTGGCGAATCCGTTATGATGTACCAGCTATTTAGCCCTAGCAGACGTGTACTAAACCAAAACAGCCATGCAAACACTTTACAAGTGAAACACGATTGGGACAAAAGTACCCGAGCGTATGACTTTTGTACAAAGTTTCCCTTTTGGTGAATTATTTATGATGTACTAGCTAATTAAAGAAAAAAAAAAAGAAAGAAAGAAGAGGAAAAGGAAGATCGAGGAATAACTACATGGGACAGATAAAGGAAACACTAGGCGTCATGTCGTATAGGGAGATCAAGGATGGCCTGGGATAGAGCTGGCTGGAGGAAGATGCATGAATTAGTTGCACCGACAAGAGGAAACTCTTAAATGAAAAAAAAAAAAAAACTAGCTAATTAGCCCCAGGAGGCGCGTACTGACCCCCCGATGCAGACGCAGTCGGCGCTGAGCATGACGTCGCCGCGCACGCCGTCGCAGCGGTACGGGTAGCGCTGGTCGCTGGCGATGAGCGCGCGCAGCTGCTGGCCGGCGGCCTGCTGCAGCCCCGCCACGTACTCGTAGCTCTTGTTGCCGGTGGACACGTACAGGCGGTCGTGGCCGCGGATGTTGCGCTGTACTGCGAACAACACGGAACATTTTTTAGAGGAAGCGGTTGTTAGTAATCGGGAATTTACTGGGTACAGAGGAATAACACCTGAGTACTCAGGAATGGCAACGCATGGGGGGTATCATGGGCGAAACAGTATACTCTGTTATGTCCATGGTACTGCTCATATCTATAGGCGACGGTTACCACTTTCCATCAGGTGGGCTGTCAGATGGCAAATAGCCATTCTAAGTTGCATAAAAGAAAGTGCAAACAGAAATTCAGATTACTTTTTGGTCATAAAATTTGACATGTCAAAAAACCATTTTAAACTTTTAAATTTTAAATTAGATATTGCAGTTAGAAAATAGGATATTGAGATTATAAATGTAAATTATAATATATGCAGAAAAACAAACTATATTAGGCCAGAAACTGGCATGAAAATCAGACTATACTGTGGTTAGTAAATCAGACGCCATTTTGGGTAGAATTAGGCGACTGTCTGATAAGTCGTTGGATCAAATTGATCAATTGTCTCAAGAATCGATCGCAACTTACTTTCAGCCTGCGTCAACTCCTTGTAATAGGGCTCGAGAGCCTTGAACAGCCGCGCCTCGTCCACGAAGGGCAGCAGCGCGACGCCCTGCCACGCGAACTTCTTGCCGTTCAGGTCGATTTTAAAGTCCGTCGGGTAGAAGTCGATTATAGGCGAAAACTGAAACAAAATGTATAGAATATTAAATTAATGGAATCAACACGGAAGTAAATGCAATCAAAATATTTATTTTACCAGAGGGACTTTGTACAAAAGTCAATTGCTTGTGTACCTCTGTCCCATTCGTGTTTCAACCGTAAAGCAGTTGTGTTTGCATAGCTGCGTTTCGGTTTGAAGGGTGGGATATGGCAGTGAATTTACTGGGTACAAAGGAATAACACCTGAGTCCTCAGGAATGGCAACGCATGCGGGGTATCATGGGCGAAACAGTATACTTTGTTATGTCCATGGTAATGCTCATGTCTATAGGCCACGGTTGGGGGGTTTTGCCAGTAGTTATCATGCTTGGCAGACGGATTGGCATCACAGTCAGGCTTTAGATATGTTTTAAGAGGGACGCTATTGCCCATCCCTCACCCTCCTTTAGTCGGTTTTTACGACAACCACCGAAAGGAAACGGGTGGACTATTCTATAAAAAAAAAATATACCCCACACATAGCAAATCTCCATAGAGGACAGTAACCACTTCCTGGCAACCTGGCAGACCGTCAATTCAATTACATTTCTAATAAAAAAAAAACTTTCGAAGTGAGTCTAATAATAACAAAAAATATCAATTTAATGTCAGGTAAAGAAAATATAGACTCACAGGGTCACTCATGAGCTTCGCCCAGGGCTTGGGCACGTGCTGTGAACTCGCCGCCGGGAACACGCCCATCAGCTGTTCCAGAGGTCGGAACTGCAACATAAATACACAACCCTCAAGACCTCTGCGAAAAATCCACCGCTACTAAAGTCCTATCAGAGTGCTTTTTACATAATCAATAAAAAATATTAAAAAATGTTTAATTGTCTTTGAAATTTGACAAATAATTGCAACGTTGCTACAGTACAGTAAACTGTGATATACAAGTTTTTAAGAACTAAATCGATCAGGGTTGCAAACACCAGACGCCGTGCTCACTCGCACTTAACATATCGCGATGCGTCGTGTCGTATTGCAAAATTATTTATTTTACCATACAAATAAATTTATGGCAACCCTACTAGCATAAGAAGGGTATATTTTGGGGCATTATTGCGTTCATAAAATATATATTGTCTATGATAACATGATACTCTCTTCCAAAATCTAAATAATAAAAAAGGTGTAAATATAAATTATTTATTTATTATATTTACCACCCATATTTACCCTCAGCAATTACAATATATACAAATACATATAATAAATTTTAATTATTGGGACATTTTCTAAATAATTTATTGTCATTCTGCGAAACTTGACAAATTTACAAGTCAATATATCCAAGTCCGGATACTGGTACATGATAAGGGAGACCCACCCCTAAAAATTTTTTTTAATTTTTTTTGATAAAATTTTGTGATTTTATTTTAATATGATTTAGCATTGAAAAATACATACAACTTTAATTTCTAATATATAGAAATAATCTAATTTTCACCGTTTTACGACCAACCCCTGTATTTTAATCGCGATTTTTATATTTCGCAATAAGTGGTAAAACGGTTACGGGTTCAACTAGTATATATATATAAAGTAAAAAGTTATAAGGGCGTGCCATGTTAACGTAGACATGTGTGTTACTTCTATTTACATTTATGTACATGGCCTAGTCGAAAAAATCGGGTCATACAAAAAAATCTGCGTACCGGCTGCGTGCCCTTCTCAAACTTGGTGGAGAGGCCGCTGATGTTGACAAAGTCCGAGGCGAAGGGCGCGTAGTGGTACGGGAAGTACCACTTCCAGCTGGCGCAGCCCTGGTAGTAGTAGCGCAGCACCCAGCACAGCCCGCGGACGTATTGCAGCGCCACGCGGTACCTGACCAGACATAACACCATATAGATTACAAAACCTGTCAAGCACGACAACTACTGGAATACCCCCCAAGGGGGAAGCTTATGTACAGCAGTATCCGAAACTGTTGTTTAAATGAAACCTTACATTTCCGGTCAACATTTTGATACATCTTATCATGAAAAATTAAAGAGTTCCCGACAACACGAGTTTTGCACAAAAGTCGATTGCTTGGGTACCTCTGTCCTATTCGTGTTTCAACCGTGAAGCAGTTGTGTTTGCATGGCTGTGTTTCGGTTTGAAGGGTGGGATATGGCAGTGAATTTACTGGGTACAGAGGAATAACACCTGAGTCCTCAGGAATGGCAACGCATGGGAGGTATCATGGGCGAAACAGTATACTCTGTTATGTCTATGGTACTACTCAAGCCTATAAGCGACGGTTACCACTTTCCATCAGGTGGGCCATCAGCTTGTTTGCCATTCTATGTTGTATAAAAAAAAAGTTTAATTTAAAAACTATTGTAACCTTTACAGCTTAGTACACAAGCTACTTAAGTAAAATCATTTTGACTTAAGGCAAAGTGTGAGAACGACATGTCATTTATTAATTCTGGTCCAGTATTCCCAGATATAATAAATAGGTGTGTACATACAGCGATACATACTAAACAGGAATAACAAATACCACGCGGACAAAGCCGCGGGCATCAGCTAGTTATAAAATAAGTGACTATTTAAATCAAGACCAAAATCAATGGATTTGAACAATGTATTAAAGCGTACTGTAATTATTTACATTATTGATTCATATTGTAATTTTAATAAATTTATGGGGAATTCAATACAATGGTATCCAGCAGGGACCCTGTTACTACCTCCTTTCTCTCTATGTTAATGAGTGTTTACATACTATCTAGTATTTATTATACAACATAGATTGGTAAATAAGCTGACTTCAACCCTAATGGAACTTGAAAAGCGGTAACCGTCGCTCATTTTAAGTTTCATAAAAAAAGCTTATGTAAAAAAAAAAAAAGTCACCTGAATTCAAGGTTGTCCCTGGCCACCTCAAACTTGCTCTCGTAGTAGCGCTCCTTGAAGCCCTCCTCCCACAGCCGCACCTCGTCGTGCTTATCTTCGTCGTCGGAGTCTTCGAGGCCCGCGTCCGCGGCTGTACGCTTGCGGCCGCGCGCGTTCGCCCCCTCTTGCTGCGAGAACAGGGGGTCTAAGGCGGGTCCTACACGATCGATTACAGTGGAATTCGCTTACCATGAATCCGGCTATAATAATCTATAGTTTACGACTAAATTAAATTTAGAAATGGGGTTCTCATATAGGTAATATTAATCTGTCTGTTTGTGACTTTAATATGATATTCCGCTTATAGTGGTACATATTATTTATACAAAAAAAAAAAAAAAAATTATTTATTTTGCACTTTATTGCACCATTTAAAAAACAGTAAATACATTTAATTGACGCCTATAAAATCAAAGATAGCTAAATCCAAGTCTGTCAAATGTTTAGGAAGCTACAAAAACTAATACGTCAGTGAAGGATATGGAACGATATTCTATATTTTAAACCAGATCGTTATCATCTTATAGGAATGAAACAATCACCATATTGTATGTATTGTGACAAAGTGGAAGACCTTCTACATTTGCTGGTGGAATGTGGGCAGAACTGAAACAGCGGATTCTGGGCGATATGCCATTATATAACGGTAATGTCAATTTAATACTGAGTCAACCTGGCAGTCGCAATGCAAGACGACTATATCTGTGGGTAAAGGTGTCCCTGACTGACTGACAGACTGACTTTCAGACAATCCCTATGAGGCTGGCATAGTCACTCCGGTGTACTGAAGCATCAACAAAAATTTTATTAAAAAAAAAAAAAACAGATTGAAAAAAAAATAGAATATTAGTAATAATTTAAATTTTAATTAATAGGACTTTTAATTAAGAGAAATATTTGAGTAGAGATAGATAGATAGATAGATAGATAGATAGATACTCTTTATTGTTTCCTTCAAAAGATTACAATAGTAAACTTATTATAAACATAAACAATTACAAGAAATAATCACAATGAGAAAACAATGGGCGACCTTATCGCTAAGAGCGATCTCTTGCAGGCAACCTTTGGATGGAGAGGAGTAATTATAAGAGAGTGAAAATGAAATCGATTTTATGGCGTTTAGCCATTTTTTATTTTATACGTCTCAATTGTAATGAGAAATGATACAAGTGGCGACTTTTTTAACGCTAACCATTCTATTCCAGTTTTTGTTTCTTACAATGACGTCCGCTTAATATGAGCCAATGGGGGGAAAGGGATTGTTAGTAATGGAGACTGAGAATCCCATTGCTAGCAATATACCCAACCAGGTCGACCTCCTCGCGGTTCCCCCTGGAAACTATCATGGTTAATTTCTGATGAATTCATCATGATGTGCTAACTGGCCTGTTTTCATTCTCATCGACCACTCTTCACTGGTGCTCCGCCAGCGTATCCCGTTAGCGCAGGCGGGGTTACCGTACCATTTTCACCCATCAAAAAAAAAAATGAGCCAATGGCCATTTTTCTCCATACATACATATCTGTCATGTCTGTCTCCTATTAGTGTGGGCAGAAACAATGTAACACCAAATACTTGGATTCAAACATACCTCTCACTTCCTCCACATTTATCAATCTATTCCAGACTCCAGGAGTTCCCAAACTTACTTTGTCTACTGCCCACTTTGAGAATAAATTATTTTTTAGCGTCCTTCACCTACTTAAAAATCACTATTACTTCAAGATCAACAAATCACCCCCCAAGCCTCTGCCGTCTCTCTAAGGTCTCTTACCGCCCCCTTTTAGGCCTGCAGCGCTCACAAGGGGGTATTATCACCCACTTTGGGAAAGGCTGATCAATTCATATACACTCGCCAGTCACCGGTACTTATTATTTGGTTCTTCTTCAGCACTTCGCCTATTTGGTCGACATACGTCAATCTAGGATCGCCCCTACCGACATCTCTATTCATTCGTGATCGATAAATCTCTTTCGTAAATTTTTCTCTAATATTACAGGCGATTTTTTTTGCCTTCCTTTATAAGAGACAGGCGTGACATTATGTATGTATGTATGTATCATCATACGCGAATTCCACTGTATCTAACACAATGTAACACATTCTGCAATATTTTCGACAATGCAGGATCAAATCGTGTGGATTTTATTGACGATACAAAATTTTTGTTACTAGATGGTTATAGTAGCGGTTCATTCCGCTACCTCCTTTTAATTGCGTCAAAAATTTTTACGTCAATATAATATTAAGACTCTTTTTCGTTTGCATAATTTAGAAACTTTGTGACGTTTGAGTGTTTAGTTTATCTGACATCTATCTTTGTCTTTACAAATCCTATCTAATGTAAAATATTAAATACTGATTAAATGTTATTGTCGATTGCTGTCCATTAATTCCCTTCTGTCTTTTGACTGCAAGATAAATAGAATCTTTCTGCAAGCGAGGTTAGTGACTGAATGCAATAGATATCCTTAGTCGCTACAGTTATAGTATTATATTATCTGTGTCGACGGTAACCATCAACATCTCTTAACACAGATACATTACACAGAAGACAAAGTAAATAGAGATAAAACAAAAGCCAATGAGTTTTTGTTTTTTCTCTATGTATTGTTACATAGAGAAATATAAATTATTTCTCTATGTATTTAGACAAAAAAAATATATATATAAAAATAAAAAAAAAATCTACAACTATTGTATAAATACCACTTAGGAGTCATTGGTGGTTACCATCGTTATGTACAATTAATTATCATTGCAGTTAGTAAACAGTTATCATTCTTACCGCGGCCACGGCGTCCATGCCCGCCTTCCGTATGTTGGCGGCTTCCTGGCGCGCGTTCTCTACCGCTCTGGAGCCGCCCTGACCCACCGGCTGTCGACAAATTCATTATTACCAATAGAGTTTCATACCTCAAAGAAAAATTAATGAAACATTTATAGGAATACTAGCGACTTGGTTGCCGTCCAGTCCTGGAATAGAATGGACTATCTCTTCCTTTCTCGTGGATGTCGTAAGAGACAATTAAAGAACACCAGATGGAGACTTTGTGCAAAAATCGTTTGCTTGGGCACCTCTATCCCACTCGTGTTTCTACCGTGAAGCAGTTGTATTTATATGGCTGTGTTTCGGTTTGAAGGGTGGGGTATGGCGTGAATTTACAGGGTACAGAGGACACTCAAGTCCCCAGACATGGCAACGCATGAGGGGTATGATGGGCGAAACAGTATACTCCGTTATGTCCATGGTACTGCTCATGTCTGTAGGCGACGGTTACTACTTTCCATCAGGTGAGCCGTTAGTTTGTTTGCCATTCTAAGTTGTATAAGAAAAAGTGACTTAATTTGAGGGATGGGCAGTTACGTCGCTTTTAAAACATCACCAAAGGCTAACTGTCGTTGCCAACTTGCTTGTCAAGCGTGATGATCGTCTAATGATAATCATTTAATGACATGCCCTTATGGGGCAGGCCTATGTTGAATAGTGGACGATGTGATATGATGGTAGTAGGCACTTCGCCAGCGACAATAAATACGACAAATGGAGCGCCATTTGAACTCCCTCCGTTGTATCGATTGCCGACGTTCCCGTAGAGGTAAACTCGCAATCTATGCTGCACAAATATGATAGCTCACTCGGCAACAACCACGTTTCTTGCAGGGCTATGATATTCGATCTTTTACATAATTCCCGTATCCCTTCTACAGAGCGCTTCACATTCTTACAATTGAAGGTAACAAAGTTATATGTTAAAAAATTATTGTATTTACATGTTAGTCAGCAGCACACATGCAATGTCCTTAGTGTTGCAGGTGATCATGGGTAATGGTAGCCACTTATCATCAGGTGAGTCGCATGCTCGTTTGACCATATGTTTAAAAAAAATACACTCCCCCCTGCCATATAAGGTTTATTTGCTGGCGAAGTACCAACGGGTGATATAGATGGGGATAGGTCAGTTACCTCATCGTGACTAATTGCTAGCAACCCCCCCCCCACTCCCGTTCATAAGGCTAGTGACACGGTACTGACCATAGGTGCAAACTGTGTCTTCTCCAGCAGCGAGAAGTTGACCTTCTGCTGCTTCTTCTTGGCCTTGTCGCGCGCCTTGAAGTTGAGCTCGTTGGTGTGCCGCCTCTTGAAGATCTCGTCCTCTACGTAACCCAGCTCCGTCATGATCACCTGCACGCGGTCCAGGTTCACGTCCCCGGAGTCTGTGATCCAGCCCTGGGGAGTAATGGTTATTGAATGTTAGCTCCAATTTTCTTTTTTTTTTACAACACAGGGGGCAAACGAGCATACGGCTCACCTGATGATAAGTGACTACCGCTGCCCATGATCACCCACAACACCAATTGCATTGCAGGTGTGTTGCCAACCTTTTAAAAAGGAATATGCTCTTTTTTAAGGCTATGATGTCGTATCGGTTCAGAAATACTGCTGCTGGAAGTTTGGCGTGAATTTACTAGGTACAGAGGAATAACACCTGAGTCCTCAGGAATGGCAACGCATGAGAGGTATCATGGGCAAAACAGTATACTCTGTTATGTGCATGGTACTGCTCATGTCTATAGGCGACGGTTACCACTTTCCATCAAGTGTGCCGTCAGCTTGTTTGCCATTCTCAGTTGTATAAAAAAAAAGTTGATTCCAAAGAATGGTTGTGCGTGGAAGAAAGTGCTTTAAAAAACGCATGGTGGAAGACCGCCACTCGTCCAGATGGTTGGGATGAAACTTTAATTTATGGCGGGTTGTACGGTGGTGAAAATCAGCAGCAGGTAAGAATCAGAATATGCTACGTAGTATTATATATACATATATGTATATATATATATATATATATATATATATATATATATATATATATATATATATATATATATATATATATATATATATATATATATATATATATATATATATATATATATATAAAACCAACCTTAGTCCTATAAACACACTTCTTATACAGATTGACCAGTCGATCCACAGCGCCCTCTCTGATCTCCAGACTGGGTAGATGTGGCAAGAAGTCGTTGCCCACGAAGAAACACATGAACACCCAATCGTCGAGCGCCCTCTCAAAGTTGTAGGGGAATGGGAGATTCGGCATTTGCAGCTCCCTCTCGAGGTACTCTCTGAGCACTGATAGGCGGACGAAGATGAAGTTGTCCTGGTTCCCGAAGGCAGGGTCTGAACGGACCAGCGATGCATCCGGAGTAGTGCCAGTACACTCTTTCATCTCGTGCCCTGAACAGTTGGAATTTGTTTATAATTAGACAGATGATAAAATCACAAATTATATAAATATTTAATATTAAATAACAAATATTGCAAGTGCTTCAGTAAATATTGAATTATTACTGTAATATTAGAGATAAGAATTGTAAGAGGGAAAAAGACCACGCGAACGATCGCCTAGTCGATGGTCGAATCAAGTAACCGCCGGAACGGGACTGTCCATTGCAGCTGCTTTAATAATAAAATTAGTTTATTCATCTCCACAAATTACAATGTATAGATTATTTACTCTATACAAAATAAAAGTATCGTAATTTGTGGGAGATCTGGCCTCATATTAATACATTATACACATGGGATCCACTGAAAACCAGTATCGCGGTTGTTACTGTGCCATGCTTCTGGTATCAAATTGTGAGGTGTGCTAAGTCCCTTAATTCAGTCACAACACCAAAAACATAGTAACACACGCAGACCGAATTGTATGCACTTTTTTAAATTTATTCATCTCCTATGTTTGTTCTTTTTTTATAATTTTTAGGCAGCTGTAAGTATTAAGTGGGCCGTCAGTTTGTTCGCCATTCTAAGTTGTATAAAAAAAATTTTGTCTGTGCTATGTTCCTATTTTGTCTAACATATTAGATCATATGGCTCTGTAAATGTCTACAATATCAAGCAATTTATGTTTGCATATTTATTTATGCAGTTTATTTATTTATTTAAACTCTTATTTTACATAACTGCCACCTATAATGCGTGTACTCCTATAATGTTGTTACTCTAAGTTTAATTTAGTCGATTGTAAGTATTAGCGATTCAAAATTCAAAATTCAAAAATCATTTATTCATGTAGGACATTTTAGCCGCTTATGAACGTCAAATTTTTACATTATAATTTTATATTTACCCTACCGTCCAGTTCGGTATATAGATCCAATTGAGAAGAACTGGCAAGAAACTCAATTGAATTACTTTTTCATGATGTCATGTGCATTAGTTAAATCTTGTTTTTATTTGTGAAAACCTGTAATTGGCTTTTTGTCTTTATAATAATATAAGCCTTTATTCAGACAACATTTTTTTTTTAACCACTTATTATTTATTTAATTGCTGTTGTCTATTTGCTTATTAGCAAACGCCTCCTCCAACTGCCTCCAATGGTCTCTATTGCTAGCAATTCTTGTCCAAATTCCACCTGCTTCAGCCCTAATGTCATCTACCCATCTTCTATGTGGTCTACCTCTTCTCCTTTTTTTGTCTTTAATATTTTTTTATTATTATAAAATTTTCTTAATAAAATATAAATATTAAATAAATAATGTTTCATTGTCAAATCGGATTATAAGTACTGACTGATAAGTCTATATCCTTACCAAGTTGTCCACAGACGTCGCAGGGCCGCGGTTTGTTTGGCTTGAACTCCTCGCGGATGATAGTGAAGTTGGGCTCGTGGGTGGCGAGCCCCAGCATGATGAGATCCGCGTCCGCGCCGCACAGCACGTGTTGAGTGTTAGCGTCGTGATCGGGCTGGGCTGGAATACATTTCGAATTCAGATTTTAAAGACCTTATGAACCTTATATTTATCATGATTGATCATAATGTGCATTACAATAGTAGTTTTTTATGGCGGCCTACCTGATAGATGGATAAACTTAAGAGCCTTTGAAATGTAGTGCTGGAGAAGGATGGAGAAAATCAGCTAAGGGATCGAATTAGCAATGAGAAGGTCCTGCTTAGGGCTAAGGAAAAAAGACAAATTATTAGAACTATTGAGGACAGAAGGGGAAAAATGTTGGGATACTTGATACGACCCGACGAACTTATGAACATTATAATAGAAGGTAAGATAGAAGGAAAGAGGGGGAGAGGGAGACCGAGACATAGTTACATCAGGCGGATCAAGGAAGGAGTTGGTGTCGTGTCGTATCAAGAGGTGAAGAGACTCGCTGAAAATCTTTGTGAGTGGCAAGAGCTCCACCGACAAGAGCGCAGCTCTTAAATAGGATAGAACCTGATAGAAAGAAATAACCATCCATCAGGTGGGCCATCAGAATGATTCTTCAGTGGCTTTCGATTTGGAGATGTACTGATAAACTTGTACAATATATTACTGATTGTTCTATAATATATTTTTTATAATACTGTGTAAATTTTAAATTGTTTTTCTGATACAATTACTTTTTGTGTACAATAAAGAATATAAATTTATAATAATAATAGTATTTACAGCATAATTACACGAAATATGTGCATTTAACTCTAACCAACTATAAACACTTACCCCTCTGTCTACGTATATAGTCCATAATCTTGTGTTCCCCTTCACCAGGTACATTGGCATCTGACAGGATCACCTTGATGCCTTTCCATCCTGGGTCATTATTTAACCTGTACACAAATATTCAATAAAATATGTATAATATGTATATAATAAATACGTATTTAATTTATATTTATTACTTGTAATAATTTAGGATATGTTCCATAAAAAAAAAAAAAAACACTGACTTCAATTGTGGCAGAACCAGATATTTTATTATTTAAAAACTAAACTACTGATCCAATTTTGATGAAGTTTCTATGGGACTAAACTGAAAGTATGTATTTTCAGATAATAAAACATTTTCCAAATCTATTTATAAATGACGGACTTTTGACAAAAACCACAAGGTAACAAACAAAAAATACGCTACTGAATTGAACCGGGGGGAAAGGTATTGTTAGTAATGGAGACTGAGAATCCCATTGCTAGCAATATACCCAACCAGGTCGATCTCCACGCGGTTCTCCCTGGAAACTATCATGGTTAATTCCTGATAAATCCATCATGATGGGCTAACTGGCCTGTTTACATTCTCATCTATCACCCTTCACTGGTGCTCTGCCAGCGTATCCCGTTAGCGTAGGCGAGGCTACCATACCATTTTCACCCATCAAAGAAAAAAAAAAAACTGAATTGAACCTACTTTAAAAAAAAAAGATTTTTCAATTTAAGTCCCGATTCTGTATTTAAAATATGTGTAAACGACACAAAAGTTTAAAATTAACCTTTATAAAGCGGATTAACAATAAAAAAAAAATACAATATGAGTATGTCCACACATACCTATCATGTATGTAATAATGCAGGCATTTGCTCAGTCTGTCCATAAATGGTGTTCCGGGTGTTATGCAGTTGGAGTCAAAGTGCGCCTCCTTCGGTCTCTCAGGAGGCAAGTACGCTCCTTTGGATTGCAGCTCAGAACGAATGCGTGCAACCTCCTCGATCTTTTCCTGGGTCTCTTTCGAGGCTCGGAAACGACGAGACCGCTGCTGATTCATTTTAGCGCGAGGGGCCTGAAAATAGATGAAATAGAGAATTAATGCATTCTTCTTCTTTGCATTATTTTTTTTATTGGTGAAATAAATCAAGGTGATATAATTTATGTTCAAAATTAAAGGAAAAATTGTTAAAAAAATAATTTTGACAGCTATGGTTTTTTTCTACAATAGACATTAAAAAGGTATCGAGACACGATCAACTTAAAGTGAACTTGGTATTTTATATAATTTTTAGGCATGCAATGTTATGATGGAAATTTCCACCATTACGCAAAGAAGAGTTAAGGGGTTCTCTGTATACTTCTAAAAAGCCAATTAAACTGCAAAACCAAAGTCAAATAAAGATAAATAACATGCCTATCCCATGTTAAGAACTTTAAGGTCTTAGGAAGTATAATCAAAGACGCTAGGTGCACATTGGATATTAAAACTAGAGTAACAGTCGAATTTAAATTTCAAGAAATTATTAAACTAAGTCAGGGGTCTGCAACTTGCAGCTCGCGAGTCACATGCGGCTCTTTGAGTGCAAACTTATGAAGTTCTGACTCTTCATTTCTATATTGTCACAGAATAGAATAGAATACTTTATTTGCTTCGAATAGGTAGTTATAATTAATATAATAATATATTAATAAAGTTCTTATGGAATACATAAACAGTTCCTATTATTTCCAGTATAATTTATAATAATTGACAATATTTTATAAAAAAGTAAACTAAAAATTGTTCTGAATCCTTTAACGATGATTAGGCACCAATCTTTATTAACGCAAGTATTATTTATTGTTTGCAAGAAATTTTTTTATTTTATTTTTTGAAGTAAAAAGTTTTAAATTTTGTAAATTGTAATTTTTTACTATACCGACTCAGGTTGCCGATCCCTGACTTAATATAATATTTTGTTGAAATTTAAATTTGACCATTATTCTAGTTCTGATATCCAATGTGCACCTAACATTCTCTGTAATTATACTTGCTTAGTTACTTAAAGTTCTAGAACTAGCTACATGTCTTAAAAGATAGCACTCTTTCATAATAACTTTTCACAGCTAACTATATTTTTAAAATATTACATATTAGAACTAACTATAATGTAATTAACTCTATAGTAATATAAGTATTTTTTTTTGATGGGTGAAAATGGTAACCCCGCCTGCGCTAACGGGATACGCTGGTGGAGCACCAGTAAAGGGTGATAGATGAGAATGAAAACAGACCAGTTAGCCCATCATGATGAATTCATCAGGAATTAACCATGATAGTTTCCAGGGGGAAACGCGAGGAGGTCGACCTAGTTGGGTATATACCCAACTAGACTGAGAATCCCATTGCTAGCAATATTGCTAGCAATGGGATTCTCAGTCTCCATTACTAACAATCCCTTTCCCCCCCAGTAATATAAGTATTTCACAGATAAATAATTATTGACAGGATAACAAATCAATCCAAATAGTTCATATTAAAATTACTTATTGACATAAGTGAAATAACTAGATATAGGGGTGGTTATAGTCTTATCATTTTTATGCAACCTTAAACATTTCTGTACACAATGTCATAATATCATTCTGCCCTCCTCACCTATCCATATTCTCTATCAAATCCGGGATCACATTGGGGGAAGATGTACAACAGTCGTTTGCTTGGGGACCTCTGTCCCATTCGTGTTTCAACCGTAAAGCAATTATATTTGTATGGCTATGTTTCAGTTTGAAGGGTGAATTTACAGGATACAGAGGAATAACACCTGAGTCCTCAAGAATGGCAACGCATGAGCGGTATCATAGGCGAAACAGTATACTCTGTTATGTCCATGGTACTGCTCATGTCTATAGGCGACGGTTACCACTTTCCATCAGGTGGGCCGTCACTTGTTTGTTGTTCTAAATTGTATAAAAAAATCACAGTATATTGTGAGGTACCCCTGGTGCTGTTCTTATTTATTGCTGATGGTAATCATATTGAAACAGGTGAATTATCAGTTTGTTTGACATTCCATGTTTCATATATGAAATATTATTATTCATATATTTTAATGTAGATAATACTGATAACAATATAAATTATAAATATATTTTTAAACCACAAAAATGGCAAACAAACAGCCCATCTGATGGTAAATGATCACTGTAGCCTATGGACTTCTGCACCACCAAGTTTGGCGATCTTGAAGAATCCTTAATGTACTCTTTTTGAAGAACCTCAACTGTAGTCTCTAGGGAAAATCTTATATATAGGGGGAGATGGGGTACATTGATACATGGGGCACATAGATACAGTCAATATACATCGAAAACAAAATGCATTACAAGAGCCGTACGCCACACATAAGATGTTAATCATACACCCTACACGCACACTAGCGCGGAGTAACGTTCACTCAACGGTTAGCGCTTGGCACGTTCAAACTTGTTTCTGACGTTCGCAACAAAATTTTCATAGTTTTATTTCAGATGTAATTGTTCTAAAATATTTAATGTTACCTGTGATATATTAAGATATATGGTAAGTATATATCTGTCATTACATTATGTACATTTCAATTTTTTGTTATTATTAATTGCTTTAATTTTATAAAATATTTATTTCGATTGTAGTAGGCAAGGGCACATTGATACAAGTACTGTCGGGGCACATTGATACGTATCAATGTGCCCCAATATTTTGGTAAAATGTATGTTTATGCAAGACTTAACATATTTTTATTTCTTTATAGAAAAATGGTTCGTACATTCAAACGCAAAACACAGAGAACTTTCATAGATGAAATTTCTCTGGCTTCTGCGATATCTGAGGTGTTGGAAGGAAAATTATCAATAAGAAAAGCAGCCGACAAATATAATTTAAAACCTGCAACTCGAAAAAAAGAAGAATAAAAACTGCGCAGGCCTGAGTTTTTCATCTAAGTATACCTCCAAACAAGTATTTACAAAGGAACAAGAAGATCAACTAAATTCTTACATAATAAAATGCAGTAAAATGCATCATGGGCTTACATTAATTAAAGTGCGGCAGCTTGCTTACGAATATGCTAAAAAATTGAATTGCATCTATCCACCATCTTGGGATGTCAATAAAAGTGCTGGCTTAGATTGGACATATGGTTTTCGTAAAAGAAATAAAAATATTAGTTTAAGGAAACCCGAAAACACAAGTATTGCCCGATCATTTTCATTTAATAAAACTGCTGTTGAAACCTTTTTTAATAATTTAGAAGATGTTTTCGCAAGATTTAATTTTACAGCTGATCGTATTATTAATTTCGATGAAACCGGTATTACAACGGTTATGAATACTCCAAAGATACTGGCAGAAAAAACTCAACGTCAAATCGGCCAAATTGTTTCTGCAGAGAGAGGCGAGTTGGTGACATTTGGAGGAATCATTACTGGAACTGGCAATAGTATTCCACCTGTATATGTGTTTCCCAGGGTTCATTATAAAAGCCATTTTTTAAATGGTGCTCCTGAAGGGTCTTTAGGCTTATCGTCTAGATCTGGTTGGATAAATAATGAATTATTTATAGAGGTTTTGAAACATATCCAAAAACACACAAATAGTACAAAAGAAAGACCGATTCTTTTAATGTGTGACAATCATGAGTCACATATTTCAGTTGAAGCAATTAATTATTCACGTGAAAATGGAATTGTCTACTTATCGTTTCCTCCACACACATCCCACAAACTTCAACCTCTTGATGTTGGTGTTTTCGGTCCATTTAAATCAAAACTCAAGGTAGCCTTCAATGACTGGCACATTAATCATCCTGGGAAAACGATATCTATTTATGATATTCCAAGTCTTTCTAAGTTGGCTTTTTTTGAATCTTTCAACGCAAAAAATATTACAAGCGCATTTGCTAAGCCTGGAATCATACCATTTAATAGATTAGCATTTTCTGAAGAAGATTTTTCTCCTTGTGATGTTTATAGCAACCAAGGATCCAAAAATGATCTTATAACTGATTCTAGTGCCAATCCTATTAATCTCGAATTAACGACAGAGAGCGAGCAATGTGTAACACCACCTCCTACTAGAGAGCCACCAAATATCATGAATGATTTTGAGTTACATAATATGCCTTCCACATCAAGAGCTTCTGATGAAATTAATGAAATACTCACAACCAAACCATGCATAACTCCTGAAGTTGTAAGGCCTTATCCAAAAATTTACCGAAACAATCCAACCAGAAAAGGAAAAGGAAAGGGTAAATCGCGAATTTACACGGATACTCCAGAAAAACAAAGAATAGAAGAACTGCAAAGATCTAAGGATGAAGCGAACCTAAAAAAAAATCGACGAAAACGCGTAAAAGATCTGAAAACTGCTAAAAATTTACTGGGGATAACTGTTAATCCCATCAAAAAACAAAATAAAAATGCAAAGACTATATCTACAGAATCAGACTCTTCAAACTCTTCTGCTAATATTTTATTACAGGAATCATTCGATTCTGAAAAGTCTACCATAGAATCATCTGATGATGATATTTTTAATACTGCCCCACCTGCAGTAAATGATCTTCATGATGGTGACTATGTTATAACAAAGGTAATTAACGTAGGAAAGAAGCAACCTTATAAGCATTTTGTTGGAAAAATAGTGTCAAGATATCCCGACAGCCAGAACGACTTTCTTGTCTCTTTTTTAAAGCTTAAACCGACTGGAACTTTTGTATTCCCTGATATAAGAGACGAAGCTTCGGTTAATATTTGTGATATTGTGTTGAAGTTACCAAATCCTATAGTAAAGAAGGGCACTAGTAGAACAGCTTCTCTATTCAATTTTAAGATAAATTTGTCACCTTACAACATTTCAATGTAATGTAAATCCTCATAAAAACTAGTGATGACTGAAGAGGTCAAATAAAGAATGATGATATCTTATTGTTTAAGTATAAAACTAGTGATGACTGATTAGGCCAAATAAAGAATGATTGTATTTTATTGTTTTTCATGGTATAGTATATTGTTTGGATTTACTTGTTCTATTTTTATATAAAAAACGCAAAAAACATTGATTTCAATTAGTACAAGATTAATCTTAAGTACACATAATTTACAAATATAAGTAATTAATAAATAAATGTCATAAAAATCAATAAATCTTGTTTAATTTGTAGAAACGTTTCTGTGAATCAAAGTACCCCAGTATATGTATCAATGCACCCCAAATGTGGGGTACATTAATACAAATTTCAATTTTTTGTAAATAGGCTCTAATATTTTTTATGATTAAATCTAACTGTTAATTTGACTTTGAAAAGTTAGTTGAATATTTATTGAATAGATTATAATTCTTAAATTGTATATTACTGTCAATAGGTCGTCTTTTTTTGGGTTTAAGTAAAAATCGTATCAAGGTGCCCCAACTCCCCCTACTCACTGAAGAAACCATCTATGACATAATATTTTTTTTTTATAATTTTTAACCCAAATCCTTATCCTTATAAATTATAAATTGATACTCACAACACCATCAATGGCCATGTACAGAAGTTTCCTCGGTCTCACAATGCGGAACATTCTGTCAATGCACTCAAAAATAGCAACCATCATCTCATCTTCATTTTTGGGGGCAGGCTTGTCCTCTGGATGTGTACAAGGATGGATGATGCCATTCATGTCCAAGTATAAATTATCAAATTCCACTCCATTAGGATTTGGTAGTGAAGAGTCCACATACACTAGTTCACCATCTACATCGGTTGGCTACATGAGAGAAAATACGAATAAATTATTTAATTATGGTTTTGTACATACATACATATCTCTTATGTCTGTCTCCCAAAATACAAATTATAATTTAAAAAAACTATAAGGTTTAAAAAATTCTTCATTCCATAAATCAATCCATATCTCTCAAAAATGCAGGCTAGGCATTTCAAAATATTTACAAATTAGCTATTGTCTAACATTCAATGTGAAATCTGGTCACTGATATTGACCTTTTACAGTACTTTGTATAAAAGAGAATGGAACACACAAGATCTTTACCATGTGTATTAAACCCTGTCATTTTTATTGCTTCCCTAATTATTAATAAAGAAAAATTTATTATTAAAGAAAAAAAAAACAATGTTTTTAATTGACTTAGAAGGAATACATACAACTGATGACATAAAACATTCTGAAATATCATTTACATCTATCTCCCATTAAGAGATGTTGTATTACCGTTTTGATTTTGATATTATTAACATTATACAGTTTTAGAAAACATTCAAATGGTTATTTGATGACTATGAAGTTCCATAAATGCCACGATCACATGTAACAGATTAACTACATGTTTCAATTTCATTTATACACAGACCGATTGGTTTATTAAGAAAATGGGTCCACTACAAACTGATTCAAATAGAAATAATATATTTAATAATTAAGAATTTTATTATTAAGAAACTTAACATTTTGAGGTTATATATTTACCTTCTGTTCAATACATTCAACAATGACGCTTGGGTACTTTCTGCTGAGCCAGCGGAAAAATGCTGGAACTCCCATTTCGAAGAGCTAATTAATAATTCCTCTTATTTATAATTTTAACCATTTATTAACTTCAATAATTTATCTAAAGTATTCAACACAAACAAATGGACTAAGATGCCATTATTTGAGAGAAAGAGAAAACGAAACAAGACAAATTAAAATAATGGTGGTGTCAAACACAGAGCCTCTATGGTATCAATACAACAACGCAACCACAGATTACAGAATATAATATAAAGTACGTACACAGGTAAAGAATAGTACTTATTTACCCGCATTCTTTATGGTACACAGCACATTGATTGATTGACTGATGAACTGACTGATACGGGAATGACAACTTTGCAAACACTAGAAATTAAATATTATAATTTTAATTTATTTAGTTAAATGAACAATGAAAACCTTTTGTGTTGTTAAACATTACAAGAAACTAATAAGAAATGCAATATTACGGAAGTATTGCAGTAATGCAGCTGATGTTAAAATCGACAAAATACGTAATATCGGCATTTTAGCTCACATAGATGCAGGTTAGAATTTTTATTATTTTCAAAATATCTTATATTAAAATATTATAACTACATTTACACCTCACCTATATTTCTTATCAGTTATTTTCTTCCTAGAAATATAGGTAATATTTCTGATAATAAGTTGAGTATATTAATTCAAATTTGTGGAATTATTGAGAATGTAAAAATCAGTTTTAACTTTAATTTATATAATACTTCTTACAACCACAAATACTCCTATGTATTATTTATGTAATAGGGTAGTAGACCACTAAGAGTATTCACTGACCGTAAGTGCCCATAAATTTTAACGATTATTTAAGTTATACTTAATATAACTTAAAAATTATTTAAAATATGATTAAATTCTGCTAATATTTTTGTACTATATGGCTTTAATACTTTAATTTTTTTAATATTTTATCTTTTATTGGATCTATATACCGAACTGGACGGTAGGGAAAAAAATAAAATTATAATGTAAAAATTTGACGTTCATAAGCGGCTAAAATGTCCTACATGAATAAATGATTTTTGAATTTTGAATTTTTAAATGCGCTTTAAATTTAAATTTCTATGAAATGTAACCATTATAATGATATCAGATCCTAAAGGTATCCTCTGACTGATCTTTAATAACAATATTTAAATGCAAGTTCTAAAATATAATTAGTATATCCCAAGAAACAATTAGGAAATAGGAAAAACTAAGGAGAGCATGTACATATTAAATACTTTTCCATTTTTATGTCTCTATATGAGACTATAATAGTTATGTTTATCTTATGTAGGTAAAACTACAACAACAGAGCGCATGCTATTCTACTCAGGGACCATTCGTTCCATGGGAGAAGTTCACCATGGCAACACTGTCACTGACTACATGGAGCAGGAGAGACAGAGGGGCATTACAATCACTTGTAAGTTTAAATATTTTAACTATTAATACATATAGTGTTGCCAGTCACAGTCAAGGGTGTTAACTAAAGGCTGTAATTTCATCAGTGATTTGAATATATATGTTATATATATTATTGTTATATATAGATATTGAATATAACACTGCATGTGCAATACAATAATGCATTCTGAGCGATGCTCAACAGCAGAGAACAGGGTTAATGATTTTTTTGCTGTTTTACATAATTATAAGCCAGAATTTCATGACAGATTAATGACAACAAGTAATCATATTGTAAAGACTGTATTCTTCACAGCATACCTGACTACAAGAGCATGTCTGTTTTTCGGTTTGAAGGGTAGTATATGGCATGAATTTACAGGGTACAAAGGAATAACACCGGAGACCTAAGGAATAGCAACGCATGAGGTGTATCATGGGTGAAACAGTATATATAACAGTACAATAACAGAGTTATGTCCATGGTACTGTTACCACTTTCCATCAGGTGGGCAGTCAGCTTGTTTGCCATTCTAAGTTGTATAAAAAAAAATCTCACAATCCAAATTAAAATTATCTTTATTCAAATAAACTATTTACAATTGTATACAGTCACTTTTTTTATTGTAATTTTTATTTTAAACTACTACAGGGTGTGGAAAGTTGAGCCTGCAAGAAACTTGACAATTGTCCTTTTAAATCTCTCTTAAATTGTGCATGATCTCCTAACACCATGCACTCTTGTCTTTCAATTAATTGTTTTAAAGTGTAATGGACTTTCTTCAATAAATGTTTTTAATAACAGCTCTAAACCTATTAAAAGGTAAAGATCTCTTTAATGAGTCATTTATAATACAAAATTTTAAAAATTTTTTGATCATAAATTTTTTCATTACAGCTGCAGCAGTATCATTCCAATGGAATGGCAGTCAGATCAATCTAATAGACACGCCTGGCCACATAGACTTCACAATGGAGGTGGAGCAAAGTCTTGCCGTACTGGACGGAGCTGTAGTTGTGCTAGATGCATCTGCTGGTAAGACCACTAATAGTCAGACTAGTTCACCAACTTAGTTTACTAGAGGGAGACTTTGTACAAAAGTTGTTTGCTTGGATACCTCTGTCCCATTCGTGTTTCAACCGTAAAGCTGTTGTGTTTGCATGTCTGTGTTTTGGTTTGAACGGTGGGATATGATGTGAATTTACTGGGTACAGAGGAATAACACCTGAGTCCTCAGGAATAGCAACGCATGCGGGGTATCATGGGCGAAACAGTATACTCTGTTATGTCCATGGTACTGCTCGTGTCTATATGCGACGGTTACCACTTTCCATCAGGTGGGCCGTCAGCTTGTTGGCCATTCTAAGTTGTGTAAAAAAAAAATAAACAATAACTTTTTATGTGACATGTGAACATGATAACTATCATCATCATCATACAGAATATTTTGAAATGAAATTTATTGCCATGAATGTGGTAAGTTGAGATAATATTATATATTTTTGTGTGGTGTTAACATTCAGCCAGGTTGGCATGCAACATTATTACATGTCTTATCATTGCTAATTATTAATTATAAGTTATATTAATAATAAAGTTATATTGATATTAAAATTGTTATTGTATTAATATATTATTTTTCAGTCAGTTACATATATAACATTATATATTTAAGATTTAATTTTATTTAACCCCTCATTTGTTATCATATTATGCTTTGTTATTTCACTGTCATATCCTACCCTTTAAACCGAAATGCAGCCATGCAAGCACAACTGCTTAGTGACAAAACCATGAATAGGACAGAGATAAGCAATTAGACAAATTCTTTAGTCTCTATCTAGTATTAACAAGAATATAACATGACAGAATCTATATTGGTTTTTTTTGATGGGTGATAATGGCGCATCAGCGCAGGCGGGGTTACCATTACCCCGCCTGCGCTGATGGGATACGCTGGCGGGGCACCAGTAAAGGGTGATCGATGACAATGAAAATAGGCCAGTTAGCCCATCATGATGAATCCATCAAGAATTAACTATGATAGTTTCCAGGGAGAACCACGAGGAGCTCGACCTGGTTGGGTATATTACTAGCAATGGGATTTTTAATCTCCATTACTAACAATCTTTTTCCCCCCAATCTATATTGGTTAATGTAATGTAAATGTAAATTGGCCTCTCTTTTCCACACTTAGCCTCTATTTTGGTTTTCAATAACACAACACTATAAGTCTTTAAAATATATTGCTATATCATCCTAAGGTTTTTTTATGGGTATATAGACAATGTAAACTTCTTTTACGCTATTAGTATACCCTGGTGGAATACCAGTGATAAATCATAGGTCCTCACACTTTAAGCCAAACAAGCATAGCCCCATCTGATGGTATAAACATGATGGTAAACAACTTATGCTCAGTTATATACAATACATTTTATAAAGGTTATTAAATTCAATTATTATATACTTATGCTATGGTAATTGTTTACCGTCATATCCATAAGGACTTACAACACTAAGAGAGCCACGCGCGCATTGTCTACCTTTCTAGATGCCATTATTAACAATCCTTCCTCCTATATCCTCAGGAGTGGAGGCCCAAACGCTGACGGTGTGGCGGCAGGCCAGCGGCTATCGCGTACCACGGTTGGTGTACCTGAATAAGATGGACCGGCCCGGCGCCGACGCGACTGCCTGCCTGCGCTCTGTGCGGGAGCGTCTGCAGGCCACCCCGCTGCTTCTGCAACGGCCGGTGCGGGTGCAGGACCGGCTTATAGGTGTATGAGACATTGCTGTTAATTTTTTTTCACCAACTCCAAAAAAAAGATACTCAAGCTGTGATTTTTTTTGAAAGACTTCTCCCCTGTTGATTCTTTACTATCTAAACCATATTCCAACATTTGATATATGGTTTGTTTACAAGCTAAGATTATGTTGATAACACAGAGTAATGTTGTGTCTAGACAGTGAACATCTTGGGGGATAAGTGAGAACCTAACTAGGAGGGTTTTTTCTAAAAATATCATCAATAGAATTTATGCAAACTCTATAATGACACCTTTGAACCTGACATAGATCTCTCTCTTGGAGGGTTTTGCTAGTAGTCGCCATGCTTGGCAAGCAGATTGCCACACACAGTTTTGGTGATGTTTTAAGAGGGATAACTGCTGCCTATCTTTTGACCATTAAATTCCCTTGGTTTCTTACGACACCCAAAGGTAAGGAAGGGAAAGTGAATCTTGGGTGAAGACGTTGTAGTTATAAAAATCCTAATTACAGTACAATTTTCCAGGTCTCATTGACTTGATCACGCTAGAAGAAATAATATGGACCCAAGGTCGCGGGAGGAACTTCACGCGGCGGAAACTAACTGAAAAAGATGACGAGGCTGTATGGGAGAACTCTATGAACGACCATAGAGAACTCATAGACACACTCTCCTCTTTAGATGACAAGCTGGCTGATAAGATTATAGAACAAGAGTCTATGGATAATTTGTCTAGTGCAGAAATTGAGGCAGCCATCAGAAGGTGTACTATAGAAATGTCCGCTTTCCCAATTGTCTGTGGTAGTTCGTATAAGAATATAGGTGTTCAAACTTTGATGGACGCTGTGATATCGTATTTACCGTCACCGTTAGAGTGCAATGAGTTGTACAAGAGTTTTGGTAAAGATTTATCAGCGAGAGCATTCAAGGTGCAGCACGATGATCAGAGGGGCGTACTGACTTTCTTGAGGCTGTACAGTGGGGAGATCAGTAAGGCGCAGAAGATTTATAACGTGGCACGAGACAAGAGTGAACAGGTATGTTATAAATAATGTGGAAAATTAAGTTTATTAGTATATTTACAATTGTAGTTTCTATTTAGAAGCTACGTATAGCGTTTATATGGATTTCTGAATTGTCTTACGTTTTATGACCTAAGGACATTGTAACGACCCACACCTGATTTTTATTCTACCTAAATATATAATATATATATATATATATATATATATATACTAATAATATATATATATATATATATATATATATATATATATATATATATATATATATATATATATATATATATATTATTAGTATTTTACTTATTAATAAGCTAATTCGATTTCGAATCGATTACTATCGGCACCGCCGGCTCGCACCTGTACTGCTCAGTTTGCTGCCACTTATCAGGCTATTTCTCTGCTCAATTCTCTGATTACTAATTGATACTAATAAAATTTTTAATGGCAGGGCGGTGCGTTATACGTAGCACTAGCAGACGAGTACAAACCGGTGGAGACGGTCACGGCCGGCAATATCGCTGTCGTCAGCGCGCTCAAGGTGAGTTCGTGGTTGAACAATGAAGTGTTCAACAGTGTAGAATAGAGGGGTAAAGGGATTGTTAGTAATGCTGATATAATAACCTAATTGTTAGCAATACAACTGATCGACCCCCCCATGGAAACAATCTTGATTGATTGTTAAGCAATTCGCCAAGAATCTGGTCCGCTTTTATCTTCATTTATTGTCCCTCACTGGGATGATGAAATGATGATATTACCTATAAAATTGTTGATAATTTGAGATTATTTGCGATTTAAGGCAAAAAGAAATCTGCTTTAAACAGATTTCTTTTTGCCTTAAATCGCTCTAATCTTAAAGAGCGAAAAGAAGTAAGAGTTGCTATGATTATTATGAATTATCATAGATATTTTACAAAGTCGTTAGCATGAGTCTTATTCGATACACTGCTTGCATGTTGGACGAATAACAAAAATGCCAGTGAAAAAATTGCAGTCGTAAAACTGATGGTTTTTTTTTTATGGGCGACAATGCAATGGTTACTTCGCCTACGCTCTCAGTATAATCTGGTAGGACACCAGTGAGAAAAGATATGTGATTTTTATTTATTTATTTTATGCAATTTAGAATGGCAAACAAGCTGACGGTCCACCTGATGGAAAGTGGTAACCGTTGCCTATAGACATGAGCAGTACTATGGACATAACAGAGTATACTGTTTCGCCCATGATACCACTCATGCGTTGCCATTCCTGAGGACTCAGATGTTATTCCTCTGTACATGAATGTATGTGAGGATGAAAACAGGTGACTCGGCCCATCATGATGAATTAAACAAGAATTAATCATGATGGTTTCCAGAAAGAACTACGCGGAGATCAACCTGATAGAATATATTGCTTGCTAACGTGCTTTATTTAACGTCTAGTGTCCGAGTGTCTAGTGTCAGTCTAGTGTCCGAGTATCTAGTGTCTCAGTGTCAGAGTGTCTAGTGTCCGAGTGTCGGAGTGTCAGAGTGACCAGTGTCTGAGTGTCTAGGTCCGAGTGTCTAGTGTCCGAGTGTCTAGTGTCTGAGCGTCTAGTGTCCGAGTGTCTAGTGTCAGTCTAGTGTCCGAGTATCTAGTGTCTCAGTGTCAAAGTGTCTAGTGTCCGAGTGTCGGAGTGTCAGAGTGACCAGTGTCCGAGTGTCTAGTGTCTGAGTGTCTAGGTCCGAGTGTCTAGTGTCGGAGTGTCTAGTGTCTGAGCGTCTAGTGTCCGAGCGTCTAGTGTCCGAGTGTCGGAGTGTCAAAGTGTCTAGTGTCCGAGTGTCTGGTATCCGAGTGTATAGTGTCAGTGTCGAGTGTCTAGTGTCGGAGTGTCTGAGTGTCTAGTGTCCGAGTGTCTAGTGTCTCAGTGTCTGAGTGTCTAGGTCCGAGTGTCTAGTGTCTGAGCGTGTAGTGTCCGAGTGTCTAGTGTCCGAGTATCTAGTGTCTCAGTGTCCGAGTGTCTAGTGTCTGAGTGTCTAGTGTCCGAGTGTCTAGTGTCAGTCTAGTGTCCGAGTATCTAGTGTCTCAGTGTCAGAGTGTCTAGTGTCCGAGTGTCTAGTGTCTGAGTGTCTAGTGTCCGAGTGTCTAGTGTCAGTCTAGTGTCCGAGTATCTAGTGTCTCAGTGTCAGAGTGTCTAGTGTCCGAGTGTCGGAGTGTCAGAGTGACCAGTGTCCGAGTGTCTAGTGTCCGAGTGTCTGGTATCCGAGTGTCAAGTGAAATGAAATGAAATGAAATGAAATGAATTTATTTTGCTAGAATGCAGGTAATTTTAGATGATAGAGGTTTATATTTCCCGTGTACATTCTGCACGTGTCTCAGTGTCTGAGTGTCTGAGTGTCTATGGACCGAGTCTCTAGTGTCTGAGTGTCTAAGTGTCTAGTGTCTAGTGTCTAGTGCCTAGTGTCTGAGTGTCTAGTGTCTGAGTGTCTGAGTGTCTAAGTGTCTACTGTCGGAGAGTCCGAGTGTCTAGTGTCGGAGTGTCTGAGTGTCTAGTGACTGTGTCTAGTGTCTGAGTGTCTAGGTTCGAGTGTCTAGTGTCGGAGTATCTTGAGTGTCGGAGTGTCCGAGTGTCTAGTGTCGGAGTGTCTGAGTGTCTAGTGTCCGAGTGTCTAGTGTCTGAGTGTCTAATGTCCGAGTGTCAAGTGTCTCAGTGTCTGAGTGTCTAGTGTCGGAGTGTCCGAGTGTCTGAGTGTCTAGTGACTGTGTCTAGTGTCTGAGTGTCTAGGTTCGAGTGTCTAGGTCCGAGTGTCTAGAGTCGGAGTGTCCGAATGTCTAGTGTCGGAGTGTCTGAGTGTCTAATGACTGTGTGTCTAGTGTCCGAGTGTCAAGTGTCTAGTGTCGGAGTGTCCGAGTGTCTAGTGTCGGAGTGTCTGAGTGTCTAGTGTCCGAGTGTCTAATGTCCGAGTGTCTAGTGTCGGAGTGTCTGAGTGTCTAATGTCCGAGTGTCAAGTGTCTCAGTGTCTGAGTGTCTAGTGTCGGAGTGTCCGAGTGTCTAGTGTCGGAGTGTCTGAGTGTCTAGTGACTGTGTCTAGTGTCTGAGTGTCTAGGTTCGAGTGTCTAGTGTCCGAGTGTCTAATGTCGAAGTGTCTTGAGTGTCTAATGTCCAAGTGCCTGGTATCAGAGTGTCTCAGTGTCTGAGTGTCTGAGTGTCGGACTGTCTGAGTGTTTGAGTGTCTAAGTGTCTGAGTGTCCAGTGTCGGAGTGTCAGAGTGTCTAGTGTCCGAGTGTCTAGTGTCTGAGTGTCTAAGTGTCGGAGTGTCTGGTGTCCAAGTATCTAATGTCCGAGTGTCTAGTGTCCGGTGTCCGGTCTCCGAGTGTCTAGTGTCTAGTGTCTGAGTGTCTAGTGTCCGAGTGTCTAGTGTCTGTCTAGTGTCCGAGTGTCTCAGTGTCTGAGTGTCTAGTGTCTGTCTAGTGTCCGAGTGTCTAGTGTCCCAGTGTCTAGTGTCTAATGTCCTAGTGTCTAGTGTCCGAGTGTCTGGTATCCGAGTGTCTAGTGTCCGAGTATCTTGTGTCTGAGTGTCTAGTGTCCGAGAGTCTAATGTCCGAGTGTCTAGTGTCCGAGTGTCTGGTATCCGAGTGTCTAGTGTCCGAGTGTCTTGTGTCTGAGCGTCTAGTGTCCGAGTGTCTAGTGTCCGAGTGTAATCCAATGCAAATGGAATGGTAATCCCAACTTCTGGTGTTACAAGTGGCTGGCTAAATGATGGATAATAGATGATGAATAAGCCGGATCAATTGACCCATCACGATGGAACCAGGGATTAACATTCGATGGTTTCCAAGAAACATACAGGATATATTGCTAACATTGTAGTCACTAACGCAGGTTGTTGGGGGGTGGGAAGGGTTGTTAGTAATGGGGTCTAGCTGACCCATTGCTAGCAATACGTCAGGTCGACTTCCACCCGGTTCCCTTTGGAAACCATCGTGGTTAATTCTAGTGGAATTGGTCACGATGGGCTAACTGACCTGCTTTTATCGTCATCTACCATCCCTCACTGGTGCCCCGTCAGCGTATACCGATAGCGCGGGCGGGGTTACCATTCTATTATCATCCATTAAAAAAAACCCGGTTGTGGACTATCCCCTCTCTTTAGCCAGATAGTTTAAAAAGAATGTTGCAACAGGCGACTATGTCCGGAGACCTGGTCACGTCCACCCAAGCTGCCGCGAACCGAGCCAAGAAACAGTTGGCCACCACACTCGCAGACAGCAGTCAGCTGGATAGGCTCGCGTTGCCGAGTGCTCACCAGCGGATCCAGGGTTTGGAGACAGAGCCCACGAAGGAAGAATTGGCTGATATACTGCTGGGAATCGGTAAATTTATATACTTGTAATACCTTTCTTTTTACCATAACAGCTAAGGTAGCGATTCCTAAAGTGGGTACCGTAAAAAAACACCCAGGGTTCCGCAAAGTTATTTGTACAGAGATACAATTGTACTCTTCACATTAAATTTAACATTTTAACATTTATTATATAATATGGAGACTTTGTACAAAAATCGTTTGCGTGGGTACCTTTGTACCAATTGTGTTTCAACCGTGAAACAGTTGTGTTTGCACGGTTTGAAGGGTGGCAGTGAATTTCATTGCCACCCTTCAAACCGAAACACAGCCATGCAAACACAACTGCTTCACGGTAGAAACACGAATGGGACAGAGGTATCCAAGCAAACGACTTTTGTGCAAAGTCTCACTCTGGTAAAATAGATGTGGGGGAAAGACAGAAAAAAGAGAATAAATCTAATGTCGCAATGTCTGGTAAGACAACGTTTGTTTGGTTGGCTAATGTTTAATAAAAACATAAACATATGTGGTAGGTACGACGGCACCGCAGCCGGTATTCCTGTGCTCGATCGAGCCACCAAGCGCCGCAACCCAGACCGCGCTGGAGACTGCGCTGGCGCAGCTGCAACGCGAGGACCCCAGCCTGCAGGTGTCCGTCGACGACGACACCGGACAGATGGTGCTCGCTGGTAACCACACCTTATATTTTAGAACCTCAAGATCTTTAACAATTGTACACAAAGACCAACTGATGACAAGAATTGTTAGTAATGGAGACTGGCGACCCTGCATCAGGTTAACCTATTCGACTGTCGTCATTCTTATAAATTTGTCACGATGGACCAACTGGGCTGCTTCGTCTTCACATATCTTCTTACACTGGTGCCCCGCCATCAATAGTTAAATAGATAAAATCAGTTATTTTGATTTATAATGAAACTAAGGAATTGATTTTATTCAAATTTCTATGGAACCAATCTGTCCTTTCAGATAAAAAAGAATTGTTCAAATCGATTACATTACATTTACAACTGACCGAGTTGAGGGGGGGGGGATTGTTATTTTTATGGATGATAAAGGAATGGTCTGCCCGTGCTAACGGTGTACACAGGCGGGGCACCAGTGAGGAATGACAGGTGAGAATGAAAGGGACCTGCTATTAGCCCATTGTGATGAATATACCTAGAATTCAGCACGATGGTTTCCAGGGGGAACCACATGGAGGTGGACCTGGCAGGATATATTGCTAGCGATGGGACTGGTAGTCCGCATTACTAACAATTCCTTCTCCCGAGGGGGATTGTTAGTATATCTTGTTAGGTAGAGCTTCATGCGGTCCCCGCTGGTAACCATCATGCTGAATTCCAGGTGTATTCATCACGATGGGCTAACTGACAGTTGGTTGACAAATAGATATATACAACAGGTATGGGCGAACTGCATTTGGAGATAATAAAGGAGCGCATAGTCCGCGAGTACAAGATCGAGGCGGAGCTGGGGCCGCTGCAGATCGCGTACCGCGAGGCGCTGCAGGCCGCCGCGCGCCGCGCCGCCGCCGTCGACCGCAGCATCGGCGGCCAGCGGCAGCTGCTCAAGGTCGAGCTGTCCGCCGCGCCGCGCCCCGGCCTGCCGCCAGACAGGATCTTCAAGTGAGTACATCATACATACTAGCCGGAAGGCGGGGTTTTTAGGTTTGTTAGTAATGGGGTCTGACTAATAGCGGAAGGGAAAAAGGGATTGTTAACAATGGAGTTCGACATTGCTAGCAATATGCCCTATCAGGTCTACCTCCACGCGGTTCCCCCTAGAAACCATCGTGAACAATTCTTGTTGAATTCGTCACGATGGGCTAACTGACCCGCTTCATCCTCACCTATCATCCCTCACTGGTGCCCCGCCGGTGTATACCAATAGCGCGGGTGGGGTTACCATTCCATTATCACCCATTAAAAAAAAACTAATAGCGGAAGCCCTCCCTTCCGTGATATCAGCGCAAGCACATCGATGTGCGATGTGTACGTCATCCTACTGCGAACCAGCAAATATAATACAAAAAAATTGCTAGCAATACATCCTATCAGGTCGACCTTCATGCGGTTTGCCTCTGGAAACCATCGTGGTTAATTCTAGTGGAATTCGTTACGTTTTTTTTTTTACTAAATTTTTAATTTTTTAATCGCATCACATTTGGTATAATAGATTTTATGTAATGCTGAACAAACAGACAAACAGATAAAGTTTTTAATTATTATTTTGGTTACTATTTATTCTAATAAGACCCCCCACCTATTTTTTTCTTAAATATCTCCCTATACAGACATCACCTAGTTACAATTTATTTATATTAATAAAATAAGATCTGTTGTAGACTGGACAAGTCCCCGGAGAGCGCTGCCAACCTGTCGCACCTGCACCCGCGCAGCCTGCAGGCCATCCGGCAGGGCGTCCACACCGCGCTGCAGCACGGACCGAAGATTGGCTGTCCGGTATGATTAATTATCATTTTATCCTTTTATCATTTGATCGTTTCATTATTTTATCATTTGATCGTTTCATTATTTTATCATTTGATCGTTTCATTATTTTATCATTTTATCATTTTACCACTTTACCATTTATCTCCAAAAAAAAAAAACAGTTTGTCTACTTGTCTAAATTTTGTACAATTTTTTAAGTTTAGCTCATTTTAATTCACCTAAGACACTTTCACCTACCTCAATTCTGAATCGATTCTCACAATTCTCTTTGTAAAAGGGTTTACTTACAAATTAGTATCACAAAATCGCCATCATTGTTATGGAAAGTAATGCCTTACTTTGTTTTCACGTCTTAGATGGTAGACGTGCAGGTGACGCTGCACTGGTTCGAGTCCGGGAGAGGCACGTCCGACTCTGTGATCACCGCAACTGTAGCGCAGTGTTTACGCAAGGTAAACACTAATATTAGCTCATTAGCTGTCGCGACAGGTAAATTGTACAAAACTCCATTTAATTTTAATTTTCTTAAGAATTGTAAGAATATTTAAAAACTAAGTAGCATTACATTTTTATCGCTTAAAAATGACGAAGTCTGCGGTGTAGTTTTATAATTAAACAGTCGTGGGGGAAAGGGGTTGTTAGTAATAGAGACTGCGAATTCCATTGCTAGCAATATACACGACCAGGTCGGTCGGTATATTGCTAGCTAGAAACTATCATAGTTAATTCCTGTTGAATTCATCATGATGGACTAACTGGCCTGTTTTCATTCTCATCTATCACCCTTCACTGGTGCCGCGCCAGTGTATCCCGTTAGCGCAGGCGGGGTTACCATACCATTTTCACCCATCAAAAAAAAATTAAACAGTCGTGTGTAAGGACTAATAAAAATTATATGCAATGTGAGGTCTGATTGTATACTTGAGTGTCGCGTGTGTGTGTGTGTGTGCAGGTGCTGGAGGAGGCGGGCTCGGTGGTGCTGGAGCCGGTGATGCGGCTGCAGGTGTCGTGCCCCGAGTCGCACTCGGCGCGCGTGCTGGCCGACCTGGCGCGGCGCCGCGCCGCCCTGCACCACGTGCAGCTGCGCCACCAGAACAAGGTCGCCCGTACACCATACACATACGTGAATGACGCGCACTCACTCCACCCAACACACACACATACATATACTCGTACAGAGAGAAAGAGAAAGAGATAGAGAGAGAGAGAGAGAGAGAGAAAGAGAGAGATAGAGTAATACAACTTACACTATTGGAAGAGATCTCTGTCAGAAATAAACCCATCCATGTACACGATATTTAAACTACCATATCTTTATAATTTACAAATGCAATAAAAAATACCACCATACGAGGTTTGTCCGGAAAGTACGTATAAAAGTTTTTTAAAAATTTTATTTTACAATTATTCAGGTAAATCAATTTTATCCCCTTCAAAGTACTCCCCCTGTGACATAATGCACTTGTGCCAACGCCGTTTCCACTGTGAGAAGGCTCCTTGAAAGTCCTCTGGTTGTAGGTTTCTCAGCTGCCCCGTCGTAGCTTTTTTTATCTCATTTATGTCCCCCAAATGCCGCCCCCGAAGTACCAATTTGGTTTTTGGGAACAAGAAGAAGTCACACGGGGCCAAATCCGGCGAATAGGGGGGGGTGTTCGGTCACCGTAATGGAATTTTTACTCAAAAACTCACGGACAACAAGAGAGGTGTGGGCAGGGGCATTGTCGTGGTGAAGAATCCAACGCCCCTCTCGCGCCAATTCTGGACGAACTCGTGCCACACGAGCTTTGAGGCGTCTGAGCACATCGACGTAGAATTTTCCATCAACTGTCTGGCCTGGAGGGACGAATTCTTGATGGACAATCCCCCGAACATCGAACTCTTTCTCGGCCCTCTCTGAATCTTTTTAGCCACTTGTGGACGGTTGGTTCCTTCACAGCATCATCCCCATAAACTGTTCTGAGATCGGCAAAAATTTCACGGCCATTCTTGCCGAGTTTCGAGAGAAACTTGATTACGACGCGCTGCTCTTCAACGGAAGCGGGCTCCATGCCGACGGGGTTTCGTTAAGAGGTAACTTCACAGATGGCGTGACAAGCCAGTTCGCACCGCACGGCGGTCAGACCAGAACTGAAGCATTGTTAGGGACATAAGGAAGGGGTCCTGCGCTTACCTGGCCTCCCCACTCCTCTTTCTCGCATTCCAGAACACTTTTATACGAACTTTCCGGACAGACCTCGTACACACATTTCGATATATACATATATACACCACATATCTCCCTTTCTTTCTGTAAACATGTAGTATACCCACAGTCTTGTGCGCAATTTGGAGTATTAAAAAATAATTGTCATATAATACAAATAGAAAGTTTTTGTAGGTGTATGTACATACGTACACACGTGCTCATGCGCACGCGCACGTGTTTGCGTGCAATATCAATTTGCAATGTGTATATATTTGCACCGAAATTAAAGTATTTAGTAGGTTTTTCTCTGTATTCTCATAATCTGAATAATCATCTGAAGTGTGTGTGTGTATGTACAGATAATCGACAGCCTGACGCCCCTGTCGGAGCTGCTCGGCTACTCGACCACGCTACGCTCGCTCAGCTCCGGGCTGGCCACCTTCACCATGGAGTTCCACTCGCACCAGCAGATGTCGCCGCACGACGAGGAGAAGGCCATCAAGGACGTCACCGGCTTTTAATTTGAATTCCAAATATAAAAAGTAGAGATGCATTGTAAAACAATTTGTATATGAATTTTTCCCACTTAAAAGTGGGAATATATTATTAAAGAGTGTGCAGAACGCACCTTTTTAGAGAATATTTTTAAATTTTATATTTTTATTTTGTTTTTTTTTTTTTTATATCTGACAATATCATGATTCATTATTATATTTTTCTCTACCACTAGCAGCGACCGTCTTATTATTTCATAAAATATACAATCCTTTTTCAAGAGCATATCTCTCGTTAAAAAAAGAGTGATTAGAGAGTTAAAAAGTGTAAATAATATGAATTACAATAGTATTTGCTTTGCCGCCGTTTTTAATTGGCTTCTTACGCCGAGAGCGTGGCACGGATCATCCTATCTACTAGCCGAAAGTTGCAGTTACTCGCCACCAGTACAGCAGTTGCAATAGGTGTGTGCATAGCCGCCATTAGCTGCCGCGCCTTCCGCTCCCTGCCGGCCGCAACCTACGCGTTTCGACTACCTATTACAAAATGCCATAAATTTAATTATAGGGATGCTTAGTGACTTACTAACATCCGTAGCGGCATAAAGTCGGCGGCTATGACTGGATTGGCCAAGCTAAGCTTGCTAAAGAGCTCCGCGTCGTGTACTGGAATCTCGGGGGAGTCCGTAGTAGAACTCGGGACCTCCGCCTCCTTGCTCAAACCCAGGGTGTAGATGTAAAAATCCTGGAAGAGGAGGAGGAAACTGTCCGGTAGCCCCTACAGGGACACCGCGGCAGTCGTTCGCATCTACGAATTATACAAAGCAATTTTTATTTGATTCATATAATATGGCACTTTTTAACTCTCGCCAGGACAAAAAATGCACATTTTTGCAAAAATGTATTTTGTTAAATGGATTTTTTTCCCCTGATTGCGCTTTATATCTTAGCATTTACCATAGCTGTCTAAATATAAATAAAATGTACTCGCGTTATTGTGGAACGTTATTTATTTGTTATTATGTATTAACATAGCGTTAAATATAATTGTACGCAATAAATTATATTACATTAAATGTGGCTTATTATTTTCCTGTTATTGTTTCAATGTGGTGACATTTCTGCTATTACGTAGCGGCCTGAAAAGAAAGATTCTTTTAAATATAAAAATGAATTATTATAATAAACTGTAGTATGATTATGTACTACATCTGTACTAATATTATAAAGGTAAATTTGTAAGTTTGGATGCTCGGGGTAGATGTTTCGATGTTTACCACAGGAAGACTGTACAAAAGTCGTTGGTCTGGCCACCTCTTTCCCATTCGTGTTTTATAGTGAAGCAGTTGTGTTTGCATGACTGTGTTTCGGTTTGAAGGGTGGAATATGGCGGGAATTTACTGGGTACAGAGGAATAACACCTGAGTCCTCAGGAATGGCAACGCATGGGGGGTATCATGGGCGAAACAGTATACTCTGTTATGTCCATGGTACTGCTCATGTCTATAGGCGACGGTTACCACTTTCCATCAGGTGGACTGTCAGCTTGTTTGCCATTCTAAGTTGTATATATATATATATAAAAAAGTAGTATAGCTCACAGTAGTTATTATTCAGCAGAAGTATAGATTTACTGTAGTGTAGTCCCGGCATAAAATGGTTCACCCCTTCCTTTCCCGTGTGTGTCATAATGGACGACTGAGGGAATTCAATGCTCAAGGGATGGGCAGCAGTGTCCCTCTTAAAATATCACCATAGTCTAACAGCTGTTGGCAACCCTGTTAACTGTGGCAACTATTGGTAATGCAAATGGACGAGGCCTATGTACAGCAGTGGACAGTTAAACGGCTGATAGAAAAAAAATTATGTTACCTCTTTTATGTATTTTTTTTCAGTACAGGTATTGTTTTATATCTTTTTTTTTTCTATCTATGTCTGTTGGTATTCGTGTAATGTAAGTAATGCAAATAAATTTATTTATTTATTTACACTTTATTGCACCAAGTAAAAAGAGAGATAACAAATACAGTAAATATTAATGAGAAGTGATACAAAAGGCGGCCTTATCGCTGAGCAATCTCTTCCAGACAACCTTTGGGTAGAGGACATTGAGAAAAAGACAAAGAGTAGGTGGCGCACTGTTACATAAATATTATCATATACAAACATATATACATACATACATACACATACATATATAATATATACACAATTAAATATATACATAACATACACATACTTAATAGCACACATACAACAGAAAAAAAAATGACGAAGGAAAACACAGGAAAATACTGCAAATAAATTATTTATCTATCTCTCTATGATCATTATTTTCCGTTTATTTGGGTAAATTAACAGTGACAAAATAAATAATAATACATAATATTAAACAAAGAAAACATTGAGTAAATTTACCACCGTTTACCACAGTTTCAAAAATCAAAATTTCATGATCACAATTCATAAATGAAGTACAACATCGATTGCAACATTAATATTTATTGTATTTGTTATTTTTCTTTTTACTTGATGCAGTAAAGTGTAAATAAATAAATAAATGACATCTGATATATTTTTCCCCTGACATAACCCTTTCAGACCCAAAATTTTTTTTCTTTCAGATTAAATATATTTTCGTGTTTTGGCGCCAAGCCGTCTTGCCGGCACGCACGAGACTACTGCACCACCTAACCGCTAAAATGATTTCTTATTGGCTGGTTTAGAATCTCACTATCGTGTTATTTCAGCTTCGTGCGTAAATTTGAATTGCGCGCGGTTTTAGAATTTTTTAAAGTTACAACTCACGCCCGTATCGTTCAGGTCTGAAAGGGATATAATATTATAACTACATCATGGTGTACCAGGGCTTTGGCATCAACCCATGTCAACTGACCTTGAAGATGTTGTCAAGTTCGCCTAGTAGGGTCTCGTGTCGGTACGAGACGCGCACGTCGGGCACGTTGGTGCGCGTGATGTCGTTGCCCTCGGGGCCGGCTCGCGTGTACTCCGAGCCCAGCCAGTACTGCTTCATCTGCGTTATAATAAATGCTATACAACCACACCGATTGGTACAAAGAAGTATTCCTACATGCATATAATCAGGATTCATGGTCGACACTGAAAAATAATTAAAGAGATTTTACAAAAACCCTAAACGAGCTTCTTGAGCTTCAACGTGAGAAAGCTATAAAGCTAAATAAGATTTAACAATTCACCTGGGTTATTCTGGGCTATAAAATATCGAGATAACAGGTCAAATTTAATTTCTTATAAATCATAAATTGTACAACGCGAAACTCTTAACGTTAATAATTTAAAAGCCGCCTGGCTGGCCGGCCAAGGTGGTTATATCCACTGCACCACAGACAATTTAAAAAAAACAAGATTTTTCTATCAATCTGTATAAAGAATTAAACAAAAAAATGTCAAGGTCAGAGAAGTTATTTCTATAAATCGCTCCTGTAACAAACTTCGTGCGGGAAGCCGGACATGAGGAGCGAGTTGCGCGCCAGCTCGCACATATCGCACGAGCTCAGCTTCCACGCCTGCGCAGCAATGCTGTACTCCTCCATCAGCGGCTCCTGCGCATGGACAATACCTAAAGTTGTCCGTGATAGAAGTAATAGAATGGATGAGTTTCCTGACGTCTCAATTTCATTTATCGTTTATTTGCATGCATGTGTATAAGCTAATAAAATAATATAAGTAAATATGTTGTTTCTTAAAAGAAGACATTATTTCATTTTGCCTTTCTTGTCTTTTCGCATGAAAAATCTAGACTTATGTTAATAGGCTGTTCATAGCGAACTCATCTTCATTTTCGACCTTATCATAACTTTCCATCAGGTCGGAATCAGGTCAATCGCAGGACCCGTCAATACCTACAACTAACTAATGCAGGTGAATGGAAAGGAACTTTTAGTGATGGGGTGTACTAGCCCCAATGCTAGCATTAGGTACACTCTGTCAGGGGGAAAGAGATTGTTAGTAATGGTATTTAAGCACCCGCTTGCAGGTCGACCAGATAGGGTATCCATCTAGTTGACCTGCACAATAGACACCCTTTCTAGTCGACTTGCATGCGGGATCCCCTGTAGAAACTATCGTGGTTAATTCTTGTCGAATTCGTCACGATGAACTAACCAACCTGCTTTCATTCTCATATATCATTCCTCACCGGTGCCTCGCCAGCATATACCAACAACAGTAGCTAGGTTTTTTTTGATGGGTGAAAATGGTATAATAACCCCGCCTGTGCTAACGGAATACGCTGGCGGAGCACCAGTGAAGGGTGATAGATGAGAATGAAAACAGGCCAGTTAGCCCATCATGATGAATTCATCAGGAATTAACCGTGATAGTTTCCAGGGAGAACCGCGAGGAGGTCGATCTGGTTGGGTACGTTACTAGCAATAGGATTCTCAATCTCCATTACAAACAATCCCTTTCCCCCCACACAAGCTGTAACCTAGCTTTCATTCTCACATGTTAAAAAAAAAAGAAAAAAAATAATCGTAGGACCTGTCTCCACTGTACAACAAACCACTATAAGTACCCGAAGAAAATAAAAAAAAAAGAGAGAAACAATTAACCAATACCTTTGTGTAATGAAATTGCAACGGATCATCGGTGCTCAGCGTGACGCGGAGTCCCCTCGCGAAGTAGTCGGGCAGCGGGTTGCGGTGGTAACGGAGAAACAACGAGTTGTTGCTCAGCGGAGACATGGCGATGAAGATTTGTGACAGATAGTACATGTATTGGAGTACTGGGACCTGCGGTAGTTCAAGAAAAGTAGACAATGCAAATTAGGAACTAAAATAATAAAAAAACAACAACCTTGCTCCCTTAGTAAAGTAAACAAGATAATAGGATAAGGTTTCCGACACCATTCAATTTGTTTATTTTTTTATATCACGTAGGTGGCCAACAAGTGTACAGCCCGTGGGATGGTAAACGGTCACTGTAGTCTATGGACGCCTGCAACACTAGCGGTGTCACGTGCGTGTAAGGCCTTCAACCCTATTGAAAGTATTTTCATAACTGAAATATAAGACTAAAGTTTAAATTAACAGACAAAAAGTTTGGTTACTTTCAGGGTTCGAACTCATGATCTATACGATTTACGATACATTTTTTAATGAAAGATAATGGAATAGAAACTTTGCTTGTGTTATCGATATACGCTGGTGGGATACCAGTGACAAAAAAAAAATGAGGATGAAATCAGATCAGAATAAAAAATCTCTATGAATTAATCACATTGGTTTCCAGGAGAGACAGCGAAATAATCGATTCGACAGGGTATATGATAAATAATGGGACCGCTAGTCCCTGTTTTCAATTCCTGTTTAAAAAGTGTAATCATGATGGCCGTTAGTGATATATTATTGATGTTTATTTCTTAGGAGGCAGGCCTGATGATCTAAGACACAGGCACCTCGCTACCTTAGACGCCAATCTCCCACAACTATATTTGGTTTTATGTTATTGTTGCTAATTAAAGTGTAATATGGTTGTAGTGGAAAAAATAAAAATTATTATTATTATTATTAAAAAAAATCCTATCATTTAGTGATTTAAATCATTGATTTACCTTTCGTAGCATGAGACCATGTGAAATATTCTCGGCAAGCAGAAATGCAGCGCTAAGATGCGTAGCTGGCCCTGCTTCGCCGCAGTGGGGCCGGAGCACAAAAGTGTTCAGCCCTTGCTCTCTGAAGAAATGGATTCTTATTATATTACCAATCTGCCACACTTGTTCTGAGAATAATTCTAGATTAGAGGTTATTGAGATATAGATGATGCTTCTAGATTATTTAAGTCATAATTAAGCTTAACCTTAGGCCTTCGAATGCAGGAAGATGTAATAAACGTAATCCATAGAAATTAAAAGTATAAATTACCAAAAATGTCCATTCCATTATTGACCCATGATGTCCTACTGCTGGGTAAAGGTTGCCCCAATCTCACCTCCATCTAATCTCTTCTAATTGCATCTAGGTCGTCACGCCATCGCTTCCTGGGTCAGCCTCGGAGATGCTAACCATCAGTAAGCGGGGGAAGGGATTGTTAGCAATGGAGTTTGTTAGCAATGGTGCTAGCAATATGCCCTATTAAATCGACCTTCACATGGTTCCCCTAAAAACCATTGTGAACAATTCTTGTTAAACTCATCACGATGGGCTAACTGACCTTTTTCATCCTCACCTATCATCCTTCACTGGTGCTCCCTTGGTGTATACCAATAGCGCGGGTGGGATTACCATTCCATTATCACCCATTAAAAAAAACCATCAGTAGACACCCACTGGGGTAATATCTTTTTTTTTATACAACTTAGCATGGCAAACAAGCTGACGGCCCACCTGATGGAAAGTGGTAACCGTCGCCTATAGATATCTTTATTCACATGCTGACATATGAATGAACATCTGATGGTAAAACAAACTTGAAACTTACTTTCGTAGTTGGTTAAGCATCACCAAATTGGCATACATATAGTAGAGGTAATATGCGTATGGAGGGTTCTCCTCGTCATCCCACAATTCCGGGGTCTTCGTGTGCTCGTGCAGATTAGGATTCTCTGGCTTGCTCTCGTCGTCTACGCTGTCGAAGCCTATCACATGCTGGAAATAATACGTACGTATTGAGAAGTTAGTGGATCAGATGATTATAGTTCTTGTATGACATTATTATTAAATTTATAAATCGACTTCCCATAGTAATTGGTTTTGGTTTTTCCTTCTTTTGCAGTAATGTGTTTTGTACTTTTAAACACTTCTATAATATCCTGGGAATGTAAGTCAGTACTAATAGTATTCGTACTACGTTATTACAAAGAGATTCATTATCATTTCCGCCAGTACCCGTCCACTGCTGGACTTAGAATAATAGACTGTCATAAGGTACGGTATTGAGCCACCTACATCCACTGACTCTCTGTAATGCATTTGAGGTCACGTCACTCCATCTAGTAAGTGGGTTTTTTTTTTTTTAATGTATGATAATGGAATGGTAACTCCGCCCCCGCCACCGGCGAGGCACCAGTGGAAGATAATAGGTGAGAATGCATGCAGGTCAGTTGGCCCACCATGATGAATTCGACAAAAATTAACCATGATGGTTTCCAGGGGAGACCTCATTACTAACAATCCCTTTCCCCCCAAACTAGTAAGTGGGATATCCTACACTACGTTTGCCCGTATGGAGTCGCCACTCTAAACCTTTCTTCCTCATCGATTGTCGGTTCTGCGAGCTATGTGACCAGTCCATTACCACTTCAGCTTGCTTATCCTTCGGGCTATATCGGTTACTTTGGCTCTTTTGCGGATATCCTCGTTTCGGATTCTATCACGCAAAGAAACTCCGTGCATAACCCTTTCCATAGCCCGCTGAGTAATTTGTAGCTTTTACATACGGGCAATCGTGCAAGACCATGTTTCGATTCCAGAAGCCATCACTGGCAACTGGTTAAAGCCCTTCGTCTTCAAACTTTGAGGTGCAAAGAGATTAAACTTATGTAAATATTGAAGTGAATTAGGATACCGTGAGGAACTTATGTAGTTCAGGATTGGAGCTGGGGTCGACGGACACTTGGAACAGCGGGTCGAATAGGTTGTCGAGGAATTCCTGAAAGTTGCGCAGCAACTTGTTGATGCGGTAAATGTCGCTGGAAATAGATATCAGTCCTCAGCTTTACAGTATTACTGATGATAATCTTGCATGGCATAGACTGCAGAACTTATAACTAGATGTATCTAATGAAAGTACTTTTGACAATTTTTATAATACAAAAGCATAAAGATAGTACCTGCGGTCCTTTTATTACATACTAAAGGGACAAATTAGCTACCTACATAGTATATATACATAAGGGGGAAAGGGATTGTTAGTAATGGGGACTGAGAATCCCATTGCTAGCAATATACCCAACCAGGTCGATCTCCTCGCGGTTCTCCCTGGAAACTATCATAGTTAATTCATGATGAATTCATCATGATGGGCTAACTGGCCTGTTTTCATTCTCATCTATCACCCTTCACTGGTGCTCTGCCAGCGTATCCCGTTAGCGCAGGCGGGGTTACCATACCATTTTCACCCATCAAAAAAAAAGTATATGTACATAGTATATAGTATTCGCCTAGTATTGCAGGCGTTCATAGGCTACGATTATCGCTTACCATCAGGTAGGCCATATGCTTGTTTGCTTAATGGTAAAAAAAAGTACAGTAAAGGTTTTTTTTTATTTATATACTTCTTTTTTTTATTTTGTTTCCTTTTAACGCTTTATCTTCTAGTCAATAAAGAAAAAAAAAAGCAATAAGGTTCTAGTTGTCTTGATTGTAGTTTTGTCTAACGCATGATTATGCGTGTCAACAGAAATAGTAATTTAATGTAACATAACATACCCTGGAACGAACAAACATTTTACTCATGAAGTTTCAAAAATCGTTACATGAATCACTCCACTCACTATAGCCTGGGCACTTGGACCAGCCAGCGCACATGTGGCGAGTGCACGTCGTTGCGAAGCGCCCACGTGGCCAGCTTACTCCACTCGTTCTTGTTCTTGCAGTAGATCGAGATGCGCGGCTCTGCGTATGTATATTTGTTCTCTTGAAGGTCTACCATCACCTCCTATTTAGGTAATATTTATTATTATTAGTATCTTTAACACTCCTTTTTTATATAATAACACAAAGGCAAACGAGCTGTTCGTCTGATGATGACTACCTTCACCCATGAGCACCCACTACACCAGAGGTATTGTAGATGTACTGCCGGCCTTTTAAAAAGGAATATGCACTTGTAACAAGGATAAATACTACAAGTGTAATCACACTTCCCGCTCAGGCTTATTGCTTCGACCAATATTTGAAGGTTCGACGAGGCCATGAAGGTATTGGTATTTTTAGATAGTAAATTTCACGATACAAAAGCGGCGCGACGTTTGGTCTAATTAAAATTATACGCAGTTTAAAAAATTCCATGTCTAAGCAACTATAATTTGACGATTAATTCTCCACTATTCCTAATAAAGCAAATGAAATGCTACGAACATAACCTTGATAATCCTAGCGAAGTAGGTTCCGTTCATGTGGTTGTCGGTCTTTAGAAACACCTCTCTCAGTCTGCTCTCGCCCACCGGGTTGTACTTGGCGTTGAACCGATCGAAACGGTGAAATGTGTTACGGTCCTGATGTAAAGACACATATCGGGAATGCTTTATCTACTAGGTATAGCTGGGTGGTTTTTTTTTTTTTTTTATTGAATAAAAATGGAATGGTAACCCTACCTGCGCTAACGGGATACGCTGGCGGAGCACCAGTGAAGGGTGATAGGTGAGAATGAAAACAGGCCAGTTAGCCCATCATGATGAATTCATTAGGAATTAATCATGATAGTTTCCAGGGGGAACCGCGAGGAGATCGACCTTGTTGGGTATATTGCTAGCAATGGGATTCTTAGTCACCATTACTAATCCCTTTCCCCCCATAGCTGGGTGGTTATCAACAATTACAGTTTCTATCTAATTCTAGTAAACTTTTTGGTTTGAGTCTACGGAAAAATTCTTCCATATTTCGGGGACATTAACTGTTTCAGAGAAGTCCCAAGGGACTGGGTGTGAAAACACCGTTAAAAAAGTTCACCGAAATTGAATCGCACTTGTTGAAAATCACCCAGTTAGGAATCAAGTAAATTTAGAACATGAAATAGTTCTACCCATTCTGCCATTATACAAAGACATGAACTTGAATCATACACCATACAAACAACAACTCACAGGACAGTACAACCATCTCAAATGTATTCAAGGAAGCGAGTGTTATTTTATAATTGAGTTCTATTAAGCAGCACTAATAATCACCGCATGAACATCCAGTATGTCAACATTGAGGTCGTATGCGTCCAGCTGCATATCTTCGAACACAGACTTCAGCGTCTTGGGCACACCGGCTTGTACCGTCACCACCTCGTGCGCGTTCTGCCGCAGGGTCCTCTTGATGAAGCGCAGCAAATGTTTCTGATTCATGCAAGACGCCGCGTGTATATGGGTGTCCACCTTCCTACGGTAAAATTATAGTAACTTTTGTCTGTGATACAGATTTCTAAAGCCACCACTATACCTCCGCCAAGTAAAAACGCAGCTATATTATAATATATAGCTGTTCTCTAAACCATAGTTTTACAGATAAACATAACCAGAGTAAGACTATATACATGTACTTAATATTGTCGCCAAGAAACTTGCCCATTTGTTTATTATGTTTACAAAAGTAACTGTTCAAAGTCGTCTGCAAGGGTATTTATGTCTTGCTTTCCTATTTCTCCCGCCAAAGAAATTGCTTGCACTTTAAAAGGTGAGATAAAGCAGTGAAAATGTAATTCTGTAACTTTTGATCATTTTATTTAATTTTATTTATAAAAGACACACCAACAATATGTTCACAACAATTAAGCAGACAATGTACAATGTTATAGGTAAGTAAAAGTGAAAAACTACTATTCAAAAATGATTAAATCTAAGTTTACTTGAACAAAAACATCTCACTCCTCACTACCAAGCTTAAGACCATATGAACACATCAATTAAAGCTGTATACAGCTCTCACAGATAAGCGTCAATGTACACTAAGTAACAATTATACAATTAGAGAAGACCCAATTACCAATCTATATTATTAATAAGTCTAGTAAACTGCACTATATACGATGATAACATTCTGTTGAGGGGAGAATTATATGTCAAGTTTAGTGCCTTAAGATTTTAAATCAAGAAGTCCTATCGCACGTGAGAAATATCTCCAATATTATAATATTGCTGTGATGGTGGCAAATAAAGATGATAACAGCTCCATACTTCTGTGATTCAATTTACCTGACGTTATAAAAATCCCTGTGAGGCACAGCCTTTTGCAGTGCCAGCTCGTGAAGCTCGTTGAGCAGCACGTGCATTTTGAACTTGGAGGAGAGATAGCTCAACCGACGGTAGCAAAATGACTTCCTGCGAATTAAGGTTAAATATTAAGTCTGTGGACAGTAAGAGTAATGGATCATTCATGTCCGGCCCCAAAATCCTGTCTTATGATAAACTCCCTGTATAGTAACGGAGTAAAAACGGTTTCTCCATCTTTTTCGTCTCCAAGAATGTCGTAAGAAGCTACTAATAAAACAATGCACCATTTGGTGGATAAAAAGAAGGGTGAAAGACAAACCTGGTTCACGTTGTCCCCGCGTATGTCTTTTATACGCGTTCTTGTTCTGTCTTCAAATTATTATTCAATACTTTTGTTGATTCGCTTAAGGTGTCGCATAGTATTATATTTTCTGTGGTGTCACTACGTTGAACGGAAATCACGGCTGATTGAATAATACGCAACTGGTGGAGTTTTATTTGTGATCTTAGCGGAACTTGATCAGCTCGACGTACAGTTGGGTTCCAGACTCATTTTGTCCATCTACCCCCAATATGATCCCAGATTTGATAGGAATATGGATAGGTAAGGAGGGTAGAAGGATATTGCGCGGAAATGTTTAATATATATACAAATGATGAGATTAAATTAACCACCATTCAACAATGTAAGAGAGGGAAAACTCAAAATAACACCCTATTGTATCGTGCTTAACTGGAACAGTATAGTATTTACAGTATAGTAATTACCACAACTGTGACCAGCCAGTTAATATGAGGATAAAAAAGTTCACGATGTATCTGAAATCTAACCCTTTAATAGTTAAATTCCTATCGCCATAGTTTGACACTGTAACAGTAACATCACTTCAAAAATGTCTTTCTTTGTGCACCCAGTGACTGTAAGTTGCTTCATTGGGCTCCATTCTAAATTAATATATTATTATTTTTTAATTTGCATAAATTAGAATTCCCAAAGAGGGTGACGTCAGGTAGGCGGCCGGTCGTAAAACTATAAGTTAAATCCTTTTGTAATATGGATAAAACCATATTACGCCGACACCAAATAATAATTACGATAAGGGTAGGAAGATGATGATGATAAATTAGAAATTGAGAAATGATACATCAGAATCATCATTACTAATACTTACAAAGGTCCATCCGCCATCATGTCGCTGAGTCGGTTCATATCCTCAACATATTGCTTGAACGAAATGAACCTATATCGGAGGGGCCTGTGCGCGTCTGCATCCGCCTCACTCCTGTACACGCGGACGACACCGTGCCGCCAGCGACACGTATACTGCCGATCAGGAGGCATTGGACATGCCCATGGATCCAGGTGGACACCTATACATTCACATAGTTTTTAAAACTTTACAATTCCTGTGAATTTATAGAAGCCGCGAATACTTCAACGCTGTATATATATATATATATATATATATATATATATATATATATATATATATATATATATATATATATATAAATTATGAAGAGAGATTTTTTTGTGTGATGGAAACCAAAATAAGAAAAAGCACTAAACCAAAAGTGATAAACTAAAGGCTCTATAAGCTGAAGTAGTAATAGGTAGTAATAGGGTACTGACTAGATCGAAAAATTAACCGCCGATGGAGAAGAAAGTATGCCAAGCATTAAGTTCATACAGTGTATGGGACTTACAACAAAGACAAAACAGCCTTTTAAATCGAGATTACATTGCTGCCGTTCCCCTTTAAATTCAAATAAAACACACAAACCTTTTCAAAGCATGATACGTACCTGGTAAAAGGAGTTCTTGTCCGTCGTGGCTCTCTATTGATATCTTTTGATTGTCCTCTCGTTTAATGACCGCCATCGTACCAGCTGGCACTGTAATAAATGTTAATATAAAAATATGTTTCTAGGGATAGATTAAGAAAACATATTGTGATGATAAAGAATGAATGAATGAATGAATGAGTATACTTTATTTGCATTATACAATATAGGAACAAGACAATTAATAAATATAACGATACAATTGTATAAGTACAGTAAGGCAGTTACAGATAGGGGAAAAATAAGGGAGCGAGTCGATATCGGATGTTATTGTCATGCGGTGACAAAAATTGAAGATACTCTAAAGAGATGTCAAGTTAGAGGGATATGGACAAGGGTGCAGTTAATGTAGATACATACCCACTTTCAATCCACCTTACCTCATTTTGAAAATTACCATTTTGTTAGACTATATAATAATATATTATACAAATATATATTGTTATTTACTAATATTATAAATAGATAGTCAATTGATTGTTGTTGACGTTGTTATAATTCGATTATTAAATGTTAGTATATTATTTTAATAAATACAATATTTTATAGTACAATGTTAATAAAATATTGTCACGTAAATGCTAATTAGATTATTGGAATGTCAATTGTTTTAATTATGAATTTAAGTATTGTAATTGATTCGATCGTGTATCCGTTACATTATTTGAGTATTGTAATTGATTCGATCGTGTATCCGTTACATTATTTAAGTATTGTAATTGATTCGATCGTGTATCCGTTACATTATTTAAGTATTGTAATTGATTCGATCGTGTATCCGTTACATTATTTAAGTATTGTAATTGATTCGAACATGTATCCGTTACATTATTTTTGTATTTATAATTTTTGGAGAGGGCAGTAATGAATAGACCGGCTATCATTCATTCCTGCTTTAATTTTTGCCGAGGGAACACGTATTAAACACACGTATTCAAGATTAAAAATATCTTTTATTACTGATAATAGCCGGTAAATAATCTTCCAGCTATTAATTTGGTAATTTTAAATCTCAAAATAGGAAAAGACAATAGTCTATGATATTAAACTACTATTTTTGATTACATCAAAAGCTTATATAATAAATGAACTAACAAAACCCCAAATATCTTACGATCCATGTGTGACCGTTGTGGACTGAACATCGTAGTAGGATGAGGGCACACCAGCTGTTCAGACGAACACGTCGTCAGTTGCATGTATCGCTCCGCTGTGTCCGCTACACGCAACATTAATAAAATGATGTTACACAACCAAATTATATACCAAAAGCACAAAATATGACAGAACCAGACGAGAGAATGTTCTCGTTTATTGCAAGTAGATATTTAAGGTTTTGTATGCGAAGCATTGACTGATCTTTAACTTTTTACAAAGATACGATAACATGAACTTAGATTTATACTTTTTTTTTATACAACTTAGAATGGCAAACAAGCTGACGGCCCACTTGATGGAAAGTGGTAACCGTCGCCTATAGACATGAGCAGTAGCATGGACATAACAGAGTATACTGTTTCACCCATGATACTCCCGATGCGTTACCATTCCTGAGGACTCGGGTGTTATTCCTCTGTACCCTGCAAATTCACGCCATATCTCACCCTTCAAACGGAAACACAGCCATGGAAATACAACTACTTTACGATTGAAACACGGATGGAACAGAGGTACCCAAGCAAACGACTTGTGTACAAAGTCTCCCTCTGGTATGTAATGTTGTTATCCTCGTTTTAAAGCGATTAGGAGAAAAGAAATCCGATAACCGTTCACTTTGATCATTCTAATAATTATATTACTTTTTTGACTCGATATAGAAGGACACGTCGAGCAAAAATTAGGGGCAATTTTGAAAGTGTGTGAAAATTTTGAAGTAAGTTGGTACGCTCCAGCCAGCTCATCTGCCATCATCACATTAGCTGGTAACTGTCCACTGCTGAACATAGACCTTCATAATAAGGAATGTTGTGCCAGTAGTTGCCATGCTTGGCAGGCGAATTGGTAACCGCAGTTACCTGCGGCCCATTCCTCGACCTTTAAATTCTCTTAGTCTCCTCTTACGACAAGGACAAAAAAAGAAGGGGTGGTCTATTCTATGCCGGGACCATACGGCAACTATATGTTACTTACTGAAAGAGAATTGTGTCAAGTCTTAATTTTGAAATAAAGCACTAACAGCCAAGCCTCAGGAATGTTTGATCTTGGTCAGTGGATAGATAACTCTGGGGTAGGGTGCGCTCTGGTACGCCATGGCTGATCAAATATTTGTTCGCGACGTTGGAGAACGACTGCGCTGATATTTCCAAGTAGTGGCGCCGTAGATCCAGTGCGTGCACCAGCTGTGAGGCTGAACGAATTAGATCTTCCAATGGCACCTGATTGTTTTAAAGCCCATTACTATCTCTCAAGTAAATTAGGTTTCTAATAGTGCTTGCCAAAATCACTTTAAATTTGTAATAACAAATTTGAGATAAATGCTTCAGTTCAATATAGTATAATATATATTTCGAATTTTCCATATCTCACATATTTTACCAAAGGGTCTTCGAGATTTTGTACAAAATTCGATTTTACAAAATTTATCTAAGCATGTTTGTAACTTAGGGTTAAAGAAGAGAAGACATTTGATACGACACGACGAACTTATAAACATTATAATAGTATATAATATATTTGTACAAAAGTCGATTGCTTGGGTACCTCTGTCTCATTCGTGTTTCTACCGTAAAGCAGTTGTGTTTGCATGTCTGTGTTTCTTCTTTCATTGGTGCACCGCCAGTATATAACGCTACCCGCGTTATACAATTCCATTATCACCCATTTTTTTTTTATACAACTTAGAATGGCAATAAAGCTAACGGCCTACCTGACGGAAAGTGGTAACCGTTGCCTATAGACATGAGCAGTACCAGGGACATAACAGAGTATACTGTTTCGCCCATTATACCCCCATGCGTTGGCATTCCTGAGGACTCAGGTGTTATTCCTCTGTACCCTGTAAATTCACACCATATCCCACCATACATACCGAAACACAGCCATGCAAACACAACTGCTTTACGTAAGTAGGGTTATGGCCAATCTGAAGTAACTTTCGCCTATAGAATAGACACGAACAATGTCATAGAGGTCACATATATACATAGATACTCTTTATTGCTTCCTCCATAAACTTACAATAGTAAACGTACAATAAATACAAATAATTACAAGAAAGGATTACACTGAGAAAACAATTGGCGACCTTATCGCTACGAGCGATCTCTTCCAAGCAATCTTTGGATGGAGAAGAATAATAATTCACTGGAATTCCTGTGGATTTCCCTTTCTTGGTACATAAGTTTATATTAAACATTAGTACACTGGTTAAACAATATTTAATCATTCAGACAGATTCTTATTAAACACTGTTTAGGTTGAAAGTGTTTTAATATTTTGTTGTGGTCTGCGCCTTTTAATTAAAGACCTGCCAGTCTACCATGAAATGAAATTCCGAAATTTCGGACTCAATTTCGTGTTTTTGTTCATACCAAAATCGGACCAATAAATGGAGTTTAACATTTCGTTCGTCATACATCCTATTATAAAAGTCCAAAGAAACAATATTTTAACATTTTTAATATTTCCAAACGGCATGTATTATGTAATGTTAACATCAAATTTCGGTTTCGTTTGGCTCCGAAATTACGAAAAACATTTCATGGTAGGCTCTCTGGGCCCAGTGTTGTTATATGCCTTAGTTTAAGGCCCTATAAGTTTACAGTCCTATTCTAGCTTTTGAACTGTAACGTTACTACTTAAACAGAACTGCTTAGCTTCAGATCACAAGACTTTCTTGATAACAATAATTAATAATTGAAAACAATAAACTAAAATTCTAATGTAGGTAGTATATTCATTTATTTTAACATTTATTATATAAGTAGGTAGGTATTATATTTATTTATAGTATATGTATCTATGTAATATTTTATTATATACTAGCGGCCCGTCCCGGCGTCGCACGGGTGGACATTTTTACATTTTAAAAAGTGGCCATTAAGGCTGCACACGCGACGGAAGCTTAAAAATGGAGTAACATCTCCCGTTTTCCCAACATTTCCCTTCACTACTCTGCTCCTATTGATCGTAGCGTGATGAAAAGTATACTAAAACCTGCCCAGGAGTAAGAAGAATAATTGTACCAAGTTTTGTTAAAATCCGTCGAGTAGTTTTTGTTTCTATAACGAACATACAGACAGACAGACAAACAAAAATTTTACCGATTGCATTTTTGGCATCAGTATCGATCACTAATCACCCCCTGATAGTTATTTTGGAAATATATTTCATGTACAGAATTGACCTCTCTACAGATTTATTATAAGTATATATTTTAATATTTTATTTAACTGTATATTTGTTTATGTGTTCTAAATATTAATAGTTGTAGCACTTCAGCTGCCCGCTAACGACATGCTTTCTCACTGTATTGGGTTGACTGGAAGAGATCTCTGACAGAGATAAATCCACCCTTGCTCACAACATTTATAAATGCTATATTACATGTAATTTACAAGTGCAATATAGAATATAGGTATAATAAACAGTTACCCCTGTAACATGTATGCCAGTGACGGAGACGCGCTGGTAGGGCAGCTCGTTGGGAAGGCCGGAGTCACCCGGCACGCGTACGTACGTTCTTGTCGCGCCTCGCATGTTACGGTATGTCTCGCTACATTGTTAAATTGTACATTAAAAAGTTTTATAAACTTTTTTTTTTACAACTTAGAATGGCAAACAAGCTGACGGCCTACCTGATGGAAAGTGGTAACTGTCGCCTATAGACATGAACACTACCATGGACATAACAGAATATATTGTTACGCCCATGATACCCCCCATGCGTTGCCATTCCTGAGGATTCAGGTATTATTCCTGTGTACCCAGTAAATTCACGCCATATCCCACCCTTCAAACCGAAACACAGCCATGCAAACACAACTGCTTCACGGTAGAAACACGAATGGGACAGAGGTACCCAAGCAATCGACTTTTGTACAAAGCCTCCCTCTGGTAATACCAGTGAACACCAGCCATCTGGCACTAAAATCTAGTGTTATAAGAATTTTCAACAGATATCGAAGGCATAACCGAACACATCCCGGGGGGAAAGGGATTGTTGGCAATGGAGTTTGACAGCCCCATTGCTAGCAATATGCTCTATTAGGTCGACCTCCACGTGGTTCCCCCTGGAAACCATCGTGAACAATTCTTGTTGAATTCGTCACGATGGGCTAACTGACCTGCTTCATCCTCACCTATCATCCTTCACTGGTGCCCCGCGGGTGTATACCGATAGCGCGGGTGGGGTTACTATTCCATTATCATCCATTAAAAAAAAAACCGAACACACCCAATTCAGACAGGTTTATTTATTGGCTCACCAAGAATCAAATCCGAGAAAGAGATAGATAGAGAAGTTTATGTAACAAGGAAGAGGAACATACGTGCGAGCCGTAGTCAATCTCTTGTACTCTTTCTGCGTGTTAAACATATTGGTTTAAAAGTATTATACTTGCAATTAATTTGGGATCACAGAAATTTATCCCATTTTTGTAAATCCACCTGCGAACTTAACGTCTGAGTAAATCCATGGCAGATATGTCAAATATTATGTCAATTTATTTTAAAAACAGAAAACAGTCGTTGAGAAAGCAATCCACACATTTCTTAATATGGCAACTTTATTAGTCTATGTTTGATATATGTAGAGTGATGCTCTCTGGTCGCTGTCTGCTAATTGTAAGAAAAGAAATATGTCGCCTCTAATAAATGGTATAACTTAAATATATTAATAAATATATAAATATGAATAATATGTCTAAATATTACAATAAATACTCTGCTAAATTATTTCAAAATAAAAAGAGTTTTATCTGTTGTATATTTTTACAATTAGATATACATATTCGACTATAGTTATTCGACAAACTTTTACATGAATATACATTGACATACATACATACATATCTGTCACGCGTGTCTCCCATTAGAGTAGGCAGAAACAATGGAACGCCAAATGCTTCGATTCAAACAAACCTCTTTCGCTTCTTCCACATTCATCAATCTTTTCATACACGCTCGCCGGTTACGGGTACTTTTAATTTGGCCCTTCTTCAGCACGTCGCCTATTTCGACATACGTCCGTCTAGGGCGGCCCCTACCGACATCTCCATTCATTCTTGCTCGATAAATCTCTTTCGTAATTCTTCTTTCATCCATCCTCTCCAAATGACCAAACCAACGCAACATTCCTTTTTTTATTTTTGTCACTACATCGTCTTTCAGTCTATACATTGACTATTTAAATAAAACAATATCGTTGTTTAAACAATAATATAATATAATTTCACTTCAATTTTTAAAAATTAAACAATTACCAAAAACAAAATATATCTTGACTTGCTTTTAAACATAAAACATGAAAAAATTATATAATCATATAATGATAAGAAGAACAGATAATTTTAATGTAGATATATAAACGTTTCTAAATATGAACGAACAAATTTACATACATACATACATATCTGTCACGCCTGTCTCCCATTAGGGTAGGCAGAAACAATGGAACGCCAAATGCTTCGATTCAAACGAACAAATTTGAATAGAATAAATACTCTTTTATACAAAACAAATAAATTCAGGTTAAAAAATCAAAGAGAAATAGAAATATAGAATGTAATGGTATTACAGAAGTAATAAAATTCATATTTTTAATAATCAAGCCGAGGTAAAAACATATTATTCTTATAATATGTTAATAGACAGTATAAAAAAGGAAAATACCTAATGCTTTTTGGGTAATTTACTATATGTAGTTATGTTAGCTCCAGATCTTTGGTGTAATTTGTACTATAACCTTTATTAATTTAAATTGTTTGTATATCGTTTGTGGATAATATATAATAAGTGATAAATAATACTTACTCATAGTAAATATATAATACAGTGAAAAAAATAAATTTTATTATTGTTGACATATTTTATATAAATAAATAATCAAAGATTGTGTCCTACAAAAAAAAACACTTCAATTGTAATAAAGTAATTTTTTTATTTTAATAATTACTGAACCGATTTTTATAAAATTTAAGACCCAATAAGTATATAATTGCAGATAAAAAAATCCAAATCGGTTTAGAGTTAACGGAGTTATGAGGTGATAAATATAAAAACAAAATATATTAAATTGAGTACGTCCTTCTTTTTGAAGTCGTTTAAAAATAAATAACAACCAAGTTGTGGAGTGTAAATTAAAAAATTTCTGTAATAAGATAATTTTGTGACTCGACTATATCGCCACTAGCTTGCATTGATTAATATATTAAATATTGTATTTGACGCAGAAATAAAATGTATCTATTAATTTCTCAATATCGTCTCTCTCTTTCTCTCAATTTATTTAAAAACTCAATATAAAGTGACAATTAATGCAATTTGTACACCTTTCCAGTGTCGATATATATTCCTTTGAAAATTTTATATTATATTACTAATATTTAATGTAAATCCTGTGATTATAATATCTAAGTAATACATATATACTTAATCTAAGGTCACACAAGGGAAGGGCGTTTCAAGCTGACGATGGGCGCGGAGAAGTTGGGCGGAGGCGGAGTCTGCGACGCTGGCGTCGGCGTCACAGCGGGCGCGTGTCGAGCCTGCAATGTTGCCAACACCCAGTATCATATGAAATATTGCTTTATACAACATTTTTTTATGTAACAGAATGGCGAACAAACTGATACCCCACTAAACTAAAAGACCTGAACAGCACCGTGGACATACATCACAAGGTATATTGTGGTATTAATGTTACAACTCCTGAGTTGCCATTCCTTCCATGGAATAGTAACCCCACCTTCGCGGGGGGAAAGGGATTGTTAGTAACGGGGTCAAGTAGCCTCATTACTAGCAATATACACTATCAGGTCGACCTCCACGTGGTTCCCCCTGAAAACCATCGTGGTTAATTCTAGTTGAATTCGTCAGGATGGGTTAACTGACCTGCTTTCGTCCTCATCTGTCATCTCTCACTGGTACCCCGCCAGTGTATACCGATAACGCAGGCGGGGTTACCATTCCATTATCATCCATAAAAAAAAATCCCCACCCTCGCTATCGGTATACGCTATCGGGGCAACAGTGAGGGATGATAGACGAGGCGTGACGTGGGCCAAATGACCTGCTTTCATGCAGGTCATTTGGCCCATACGAACAAATCCATGAAAAATTAACTTCTATGGTTTCCAAGGGAAACTGCGTGAAGTTTAACCTGATAGGGGATATATGCTAGCAAGGAGCCGCTAGTGCCCCTTACTGACAATCTCTTCTCCCCTCAGGACTATTATATTATGACTCTGTACTATGTAATTTCATTACTATATCTCAATCTTCTAATCAAAACAGCTGTGCAAACACAACTGCTTGGGGGGAAAGGGATAGTTAGTAATTCGGGTTACCAGTCCCATCGCTAGCAATATATCCTGTCAGGTTGACCTCCACGTGGCCCCCCTGGAAACGAACGTGCTGAATCCCAGGTGTATTTTTTTTTTGTTGGATGAAAATGGATTGGTAACCCCGCCTGCGCTAACGGGATACGCTGGCGGAGCACCAGTGAAGGGTCATAGATGAGAATGAAAACAGGCCAGTTAGCCCATCATGATGAATTCATCATGATATAGCCTAGCTGGCCTGTTGACGAAGAATTAACCATGATAGTTTCCAGGGGGAATCGCGTGGAGCTCGATCTGGTTAGGTATATTTCTAGCAATGGGATTTTTAGTTTCCTTTACTAACAATCCCTTTCCCCCCAATCCCAGGTGTATTCATCACGATGGACTAACTGATCTATCTTTTTACTGTTACCTATCATCCCTCACTGGTGCCCCGACAGCGTATATCGTTAGCGCAGGTGGGGTTTCCATTCCATTATCATCCATTAAAAAAAAACAACTGCTTCACAGCAGAAACGCCAATGGGATAGCGATACCCAAAAAGGCGAAATTAATACTGTAAGACATTTATTCCCAAACAGCTAAGTATGCCGTAAAGTATCATGAATGATAAATGATGATACTTACATATGATAGTATCAAGTTATCAACAGACATTAATATGAGACATTAAAATTAGTGGAGAATAAATATATTATTGAGAATTCGATTATTGGAAGAAATATGGACGTCGTTTATTGATTTGGGCACTGAAACCTTACATTTACATTAGTCGATTATAGAAACAAAACATCTTGCACAATACATTAATTTATTGTTATTATTCATAGATGCTCTTGAAGTCGTTAATAGGGGAAACCATAGACATAGTACTCAAGATTAAACACGACACCTTCATTTATTCTTATTCTGTGGCATATTACTGGCCAACATAATACGCCTTATATATTACTGGCCATCATAATCCGCCTTTTATATTTTTATACTGATTTTCTATTGTTTTGCGTTTTTACAATTCTGTTTTAGATATTCTTTATGTTTTCCCACTGATGAAGACGTGATAAAAGAGAACTACAATATCAAGTATTTTTATTATCTGATAATATCTTTTTAGGTATGGCAATATGTCTTATTTTTTATACAACCTTCACATGTTTCTAGCGTATCCACATAAAATAATAATTTAGAACAATTTATCACAATTTATTAATTTTTGTGTGATTTTCACTGTAAATTAATATACATCATATTTATCACTAAATAAAAGATATCTTCTCCCAATTTTAAACCGACTTTATTTATTTTTTTACAATCGACAAACTTTAAACTTTCCATTCGGGGCAAAGTAAAACCGAATTTCTATATAGATACTACCACAACTATTATTTTCAAAGCAAAATCATTATTTTGAATGTCACTTCAAAATAACGAAACGACGTTCATTATGGATCGAGCTTTAAATTAAAAAATTCATACTGTGCTTAGCAAAAACATATTGTTTTGAACTGTTAATGTATTTTTTTCGAGCTTTTAATGCTGTTGGCCGCAGATAGTCTTTACAGCTTCACCGAACGCGTGCAGAGGCGAGTGCAGATGACACTCCAAGCTGGCGAGAGAGAAACGACGAAGTGTCGTCTCTCACCGATGGATTGCGACGTACGCCCAAGGATATTAGAGCGGCTCGAACCTCTGCTTAGGGGACTAGACCTCGGCATAGGATCAGCAAAAGCAATGATTCTAGCCAAACTTAATATATTACTAACAAGATGAATCTATCGGCCCACCTCGGACACTTCATACAAAAACACAATGATCCGTGATTGCCACAATTACAGAAACATGTAGCGACTTTTATAGACGTGACAATGTGGGATGAAGTCAGATCGCAGCAGGCGGCAGGGAGTGTCCATACTGTACTTTAGTACTATTACCTATCCTATATTCGCATATGGGGTCAGCTAAGCCGTTGCACGTCGACCCATCGGGATCTTTTGTGCTTTCCCCTGCTTTATACCATCATTTCATAGATCTCATGTGTTACCTTAACGATATACCGCGGTTTAAGATATCTGTAGTCCTCTGGCACTGGATAATTACTTTTAACTATACTGTGCTGCCGAGTTTTTATCGCGTATACAAATAATGCAGACTATCAACCTGCGTCTTTCTGAAATCGCTTAGTCACATAAAAAACATGCACTATGGTATATTTTTAAATTGATCAGTTACCCATTCAGTACAGTAAAGCAAGGCAACCATCACCACACAACCCCAAGAAACGATGAATTATCATTAATCATTGTAAGATCATCATGAACACTATGTTATTAGTACAAGTGGACATTTCGTCATAGAGAAATGCTGATTGAATGATGACGTGACGTAAGTAACGTTGTACCCATGCTCTGAAGTCATCTACCTTAACAGGAGAGGGTTGTGCCACTCAGCTTTAGCTATTCCAAAACATAGTAAAATGTTAACTTTTTACTCATCTTAATAATATAACAGATTTTACGCTGACAAAAGAAAAATAGATCCGGTAGGTGGCGGTAGGATAGCAAAATAGTGTTTGTCAAATCACATAGTATAAGTATAATTAAGTACTTATAAAAATTAACTTATTTTACAAAATATACTTTAATAGACCTCCTTTCTATAAACATTTGTAGAATATTTAATATTGTATATAATTGAGTATAGTTTTATGTAGGTACTTATGCATTATTGTTGTTATAAAGCCATGTTAAAATTTACTAATTTATTTAATAGCAAAAGAAGCATTGCATACAGTTTTAAAAATTAGATCTAGATCTTTTAAAAATTAGAGATAGTCTAAACTTTACTATGTATATAATCTTTAAGATCTTTAATTTTTTTTTTTAATTAAATTAATTAAATTTGAAAATAACGGTTAAGGGTATTATGCCTACGAACAGTCATGCTATTATATAGACTATAACATAGGTTAATATTTCTAGAACAAGAATGGATAGATTCCAAGCAACCCGTAAGTTTTTCGACACCATAACATCTCCCCACTTGTATGCAATGAACATATTTGTGATAGAAGTCTTATTACTGCTGAGTATAACTGCATAACCAATAGTATATTTGTATTTATAAAAAAATACAAATGATTTCGTAGACTTTTTATTGGCCAAAGATTGACCGAATCCAAACTACCACCGGCGTAAACAAATTAGGGGAAAAACAAATATAAACAGTAAACAGGATTAGCAATTTTTTTTTATTTCCAACAACATAGTAACATTCAGTTATACAATAGTAGTAAAACTAACTATCTTATGAATATATAATGGTTCGGTATAAATCTCCGGTACAGATCGAAGGTAATGTTTGAAAGCTTAAAGATTTATTTAAACTTATAATTAAGTACGAAGATCTAATAAGTATAGAATCAGACCAGAATGATTTAATTCTTATAACAATAAGAAGACGCTCACTAAATACAGAAAGTAATATTATTAAAAAGTTTCACTTACAAGCAAACGACGGTAATGACATACAAACACATATACGTGAACAATAATAAACAATCAACAGATGAAGTTACAATGACATTTAAGTTAAACAATCACAAGAAAGCGTTAGACGTTATACAACCAAAAATAAACCAGGCATTAGGTACATGAACGTGTATTGAATGTTGTATGGTATGTTGCTTTGTAGTGTTGCCTTATCGGAAACATTGAATCTAGTCTTAAATCGCGCCACTAATAATGTATTACAGTTGGCAAACGTATTATTTTGTTTCTGAGATTATCAATTTAGATCTCACCGTATATTTAACTAATCGAGCTTCGATTTAAATAGAACAAATAAAATGAAAAGAACCGAAACACATTACATCACAGCACAACACTTATAGCGACAGATTAAACTTAGATTAAAATAGTTTATATACTAAAGATAGTGTCTATAAAAAACAAATATGTCAATTTACGAATAGCAAGATGTTTGAGTAAAGAAAGGTAAGATAAATAGAAACCATTAGCAAGATTTTTCAATAAATATTGTACCAGTAAAACTGAATATCTTGAAACCAATAAAACAGATCATGACCCACCCAGCTGTTATAATAGTATGGGAACATTCCCTCAAAAGAATGGTAATGTTTTTAATTTAACCTTCTAATGTATGTATTTATTGTATAATAAACTGGAATTAATAATTTATTTATTAAATATCATATTAATAAATCCTAACCTTCTTTATGTGTACGCAAGTAAAGCCACCTAAAGACTAATAATATAATAGAGAAAAACATGGGGCTTTTTAGATTTTAAATTGAAGCAGTATTGTTAAGGTAGCACCTTGTATGTATGTGATATACTATTTATATCGTAATTAAATTCATTAATGGAATATCCAAGGCCTATTAGAAGAGCAATGACAAATATATTGTCCATATTTATAGATGAAACGGCACTTTCAATCTTTCATATCATAATTATCACATTCTGAATGACTATATCTAAAGCTCTAGAAATATTTTTTTTTCGGGGACAAATTTAGGAACCTTACGATTTTATTACATTTTTTTTTTAAATAAATATAAAACAGTTGATTACATAATATACAGCTTATATGACATAATTATATTAAAAAGAACTCCAAAAAAATATGATCAAATTGTGTGGTCCTTTCATCCACTGATTTGTGTGTGGACGTGTTTATCTGCGAGCTGACATTCCTTCCTGAAAGTTTATATTTGCATTACTTTCCAATTTACTTTCAACTTAACAGATAAAGTGCCATACTAATGATAATAGGTGCATTTCACATATAATACTTGTTAAATATATATGTATAGTAAGTAACATATTAACGTGTGATAGTAGGTAAGACTTTTAGTGCATTAGTGACTTTTAAAATTTACAAATCATCCACGTAAAGAAATTTTCGTGTTAACTTTATTTTTTTATTGAAATTTTTTACAATAAATTCTAGTAAAAGCGGTGCTAATAAAGCCATTTGTCTTAGATTTTTAATAGAAATTAATATAAAAAATGTAATATTTATAGTAATTTAAACTTTTCGGTGTGTGCATGTATATGGAAGTATGCATCAATAGTGTCTAACGTGTAAAATATTCATCCGTTTACCTTGAATATGTTGGTTAGTTCATCGAGCAGAGCCTCGTATCTGAATGAGATACGTATGTCGGGCACGTTAGTTCGCGTGATATCGTTACCGGCCACACCTTCCTTCACGTAGTTTGGCCCAAGCCAATATTGCTTCATCTAGAAACAAACAAACATTTATGACAGAGAAAATATGATTTACACTGTATAGAATATATAAAATAGCTTTGATCTTCAAAGCAAGACAATGCCTAACTTAGATCTGTGCGGGGGGAAGGGGATTGTTAGTAATGAAGACTGAGAATCCCATTGCTAGCAATATACCCAACCAGGTTGACCTCCTCGCCGTTCTCCCTGGAAACTATCATGGTTAATTCCTGATGAATTCATCATGATGGGCTAACTGGCCTGTTTTCATTCTCATCTATCACCCTTCACTAGTGATCCGCCAGCGTATCCCGTTAGCGCAGGCGGGATTACCATACCATTTTCACCCATCAAAAAAAAACTTAGATCTGTGCATTTGAAAACATGTCTATAGAAACTTTGACTTCATACAGATGATTTCTGTACAATGCCTCCTTGTTTCAAGATACTAACCTCGTGCGGGAATCCTGACATGAGCACAGAATTGCGCGCCAGCTCGCACATATCACATGAGCTGAGCTTCCACACTTGAGCCGCGATACTGTACTCCTCCATTAACGGTTCCTGTAACATTAAAACCACTAAGGCTGTAAAAATAAGTAAGCAAAAGGCTATAATATCCTTAGCTATATAGATAAACTATCTCCATAAAAATCATTTAAGAAAAACGGGTCAACTTTTTAATAGAATTATATTTTACGTGATACATAGTTATGAGTCCTTTATAACTTCTATATTCATTTTATCTTATAAATTCTACATCATTTTAATACGTAAGCAATCATTTTATTTATTAAATAATACGTCAAGATGCATTTTATGAGTAAATATATAGAACACTGACAAAAAAACGAGTCAGCTAATTTGTCAATTAGCTGACAAAAAGTTGACCCGTTTTTGAGGTCCGATGCTTGTTTGCCATTCTAAGTTGCATAAAAAAAAAACAATAGCAATTGGATTACTCTTAGGTAGCTCTGACTATACCTTAATTTTTATCAAATAGATTCATATATAGATTAAATGTTACTTTATTACCTTAGTAAAGTGGAATTGCAACGGGTCGTCTGTGCTAAGCGTGATGCAGAGCCCCCTGGCGAGGAACTCGGGCAACGGGTTCCGGTGGTAGTTGAGGAATAGGGAGTTGTTGCTGAGCGGCGACATCGCTATGTAGATCTGAGCCAGGTAGTACAAGTATTGGAGTACTGGCACCTAGTAAATGGATAATTATGATTAATTCAGCGACAAATACTGTAATATTGTTGATACAGGGTATTATTTTATCTATAATACAGGGAATTGCCGTTTTCCAAAAAAACGTTCACGCTCATTTTTTTACTTTATCCGAGCAGTAAGTCCTTTATATTATTCTCAATTTCGTGTATAATATAGTATATATCATATATGTGTAAGTATATTTGTTATTTATATATATTTATTCGTTTATATATATAATTTTAGTATGTATGTATATCAATAATTAGTAGTACCGCATTCGAGTATTCTGACACTTCCCTGTGGTTGACTGGGAGAGAATGCTTTTAGGATTAAGTCCGCCATGTACACATATATGTACTAATGAGTAAATAAATAAATAAAAAATTGCCGTGTAGTCCCGATAGAATGAGACACCACTTCCTTTCTCATAGGTTTCGTAAAAGGCGATTTTAATGGTTAACGAATGGGCAGCAACATCCCTCCTAAAACATTAGCAAAAGTCAAATAGTCGCCAGTCCACCTGCCAAGCATGGTAACTATGAGTAAAATCACCCCAATGGTAAACTGTTTTAAGGAATGATTCCATTCCTTATAGCAGTCTATGGAGGAGGCCTGTGTTCAGCAGTGGTCAGATGACGGCCGATTTAAAGATGATGATGAATACAGGCAAAGAAATGCGCTGGTCATGAGAAATATTATTTTGGACTGGTGTATGGGATTTTGTTTCTGTAGTCACTTGTAACATCATCCTGGGGATGTAAACGAAAGATGAGGAATAGAAATCTTACTACATCACCATACAAAAAAAAAATCTGGTACCATAATATGTAGGGAATAATGTTGAAGTATCTGTAACCCGTTACCTTCCTGAGGAGCAGGCCGTGAGAAATGTTCTCGGCGAGCATGAACCCGCAGACGAGATGCTGCACGGGCCCCGCCTCCCCACAGTGAGGTCGCAGCACGAACGTGTTCAGCCCTTGTTCCCTGGTGACACACAAAGTTGTGAAGATTGGACAAATGTACAGTATATTACCAGTATATTGTGTGATATTGATGACTATAGATGACAGTTACCAATACCAGGAGGGTTTGGTAATGATGGAAACTTAGGGCCCAATTGCTAGCAATATACCCAACCAGGTTCACCTCCAGGTGGTCCCCTCTGAAAACCATCGTGCTAAATTCCACGTGTATTCAACACGATGGGCTAACTGACCTGTCTTTTCATCCTCACCTATCATCACTCACTGAAGCCCCGCCAGTGTATACCGATGGCGCAAGCGAGGTTACTATTCCATCATCGCCCATTGAAAAAAAAAACAATGTATATCTTTTTGCTACATTTTGAAATAATGCTACTTCATTTTTATATTTTCCGTCTTTATTTGTGTAATTTCTATGCTATATTGAAACATAGAAAGAAAGAAAGAAAGAAATAATTTAATCAAACATCTCCATTACTGATCCGTTCCCTTTATTTTATCCAGTTAGATCTGCATTACTAATAATCCTTTTCCCCTGCAATTTCAATGTAGTTACGAACAACTCACTTGCGGAAATGATTGAGCACGGTGATGTTGGCGTACATGTAGTAGAGGTAGTACGCGTAGGGCGGATTCTCGTCGTAGTCCCACTGCGCGGGCGGCCGCACGTCCGCGTCCAACATCGGGTTCTCCGGCTTGCTCTCGTCGTCCACGCTGTCGAACCCGACCACGTGCTGCCAGACACGGCAGATGTTACAATCAGAGGCGGCAATAATTAAACGAACAGCCCATCGGAATGTAAGACCACACTCAAACAGTTTCCTACCAACCCTTCATAGGACAGATTTCTAGACAGAGCAATGAATCGCAAATTGATCAATGATTGTTCCTCACACTGTGGTGATAACATAAATAATGTCTTCTCTGCGGTGAAGAATTTTATAAATATTTAAAAGTCTAGTAGAGTATAGATAGATACTCTTTATTGTTTCCTCCAAATGAGTACAATAGTAAACTTATTATAGATACAAACAATTACAAATATAGTTCATTGGAAACCGAATATTTTCTAATTGAGTACTTGTGTTTTTAAAAAAAATAAAGTAAGTAGTATTTGCCGTATGGTCCCAGCGTAGAATGGACCATACCTTGCCTTCCATTCGAGGGTATCGCACGACTAAGGAAACAGTGGTTGAAGGAAGGGCAACAGAGTTCCTCTTAAAACAGCTTTCTCCTCCAACCCTATGAGAAAGGCCTATGTTCAGCAGTGGACAGTTAACGGCTAATATGATGGACTAGCATAAATCGTACATGTACCCATTAGAATATTTTACAGACTACAGATGCATGATGCAACTATGAATTTTATTAACTAGCTAATTATTAAATGTTTGTAACCTATTGCTTTAAATATATGCTAAACTTAAAGGCCGGCAGTACACCTGCAATGCCGCTGGTGTTGTGGGTGATCATGGGCGGCGGTAGTCACTTACCATCAGGTGAGCCGCATGCTCGTTTGCCCCCTGTGTTGTAAAAAAAAAACTCACTGTTAGGAACTTGTGCAGTTCAATATTGCTGTTGGGGTCGTTGGTGACCTCGAACAGTGGCTGGAAGATGTTGCTCAGGAACTCTTGGAAGTTGTTCATTATGTTGTTCGATTTGAAGATGTCGCTGAAACACCAGACGAAAATATTAATAAATGAGCCGAAGAAATGGTTAAATACCTACCTAACAAAACAAAATATGTTTGTGAAAAATAGGTCACACCTAAATGTGCTCCTGTTATCCACAGGTCACATAAAAACTGTTATTGTTGTTCCTATTCTTACTAATGATTTGTACTTTGCTCCCAAATTGCTTAGGACATCCTGGTGATTATGCAACGTATACAATATATTACACGTTATGTTCTCTCCTCCGTGAGCAGACGAAAATTTTTTTATACCACTGTGGTGAAAAACAAACATGTGGCCTCATGTTCGTCATCATTTGATAATAAACGGGTTCCGTAGCCTATGAGCGTCAGCAATATCAGGGACATTACACGCGAGTTTCGGATCGTGTAGAAACCTTTTTTTCACAGTGAGCAAACGAGCATGCGGCTCACCTAATAGTATGTGACTTCCGCCGACCACCCGCAACCTCAAAAACGTTACAAGTATGCTGCCGGCCTTTTAAAAAGAAATATGCTCTTTTCTTGAAGATTACAATGTCGTATCGGTTCGAATATACTGCTTCTGGAAGTTGATCCTCAAGCATGATTGTGCGTGGGAGTAAATGCCTTGAAAAACGCACGGTGAAGAACCGCCACGTAGTTTGTGGCGGGTTGTACGGTGGTGAAAATCAGCAGCAGGTATAAGTCTGAACAATATATGCCGAACAACAAAACCTCTTTGCCTTTTTTTTTGGAAAAACCTCATGCTTTAGCAATCTGATTTATGGAATCCTCATACTCACTATAGCCTGGGGATCTGTATGAGCCAGCGCACGTTGTCTGAGTACACATTATACTGGATGGCCCACTTGGCCAGCTTGGCCCACTCGTCCGCGCTCTTGCCGTAGATGGACAGACGCAGCTCCGCGTTCTGGTACTTGCTCTCTTCCAGATCTGATGCCACTTCCTGGTAAGTAAAGAAATGATGTAAGGAAAAGGACATATTAAGGAAATTTAAATAACATAATAATATTTTTTTAACTCATTAACACCTTCGGTGCTTTTCTTGAAGCTGAGCGTCTTTCTTGGTACTCTACACCATCTTGGACTTCATATTTTCCCTTGAACCTCGACGCCTCTGGTCACTGCCTGATTGCATCCTCTTAAAATAACAAAGGTACTGGCTACAATATACTTACTTTGATAATCCTGGCGAAGTATTTCCCGTTCATGTAATTGTCAGTCTTGAGGAACACCTCGCGCAGTCTGCTCTCGCCGATTGGATTGTATTTGGCATTGAATTTATCGAACCGGTGGAACGTGTTTCGGTCCTGGAAGAGGTACGATCGATTAACGACTTTTGGAGATAGCTAAACACTAGTACCTAGTATACCTATAAAGTATCGAATCGCCTTTTACGCCCCAGAAACCTTCGTAGTTAATTTTTTATTAATTCATTGCTATGGGCCAACTAACCTGACCTTATCCTCACCTAACATCCCTCACTGGGGGGAAGGGAAGGGAAGTCCCATTGCTAGCACGGTGTCAGGTCGACCTCCACGTGGTCCCCCTTAAAACCATCGAGCTGAATTCCAGGTGTATTCATCACGATGGGCTAACTGACCCGCCTTTTCATTCTCACCAATCATCCCTAACTGGTGCCCTGTCAGCGTATACCGTTAACGCAGGCCAAATTACGTTAATTATCGTTCCATTATCATCCATTAAAAAAAAAACATCACTCACTGGTACCCCCGCCAGCGTAAACTGACAGCGCAGATGGGGTTACTAGCCACTATAAATCATTACCCTACCAGCCAAATGAAAACATATTGTTTTCATTTTATGTTACTGACATTTGCAAAGCTATTTTTATATTACTTGAAATGACAAACAAACAGATAGTTCGACCACCATCGAATACATCAGTTGACTCGTACAAAGTGCCTGATTTTCTACTACATTTTGCTGATCAATAACATCAAAATTTATAACTTTTTAATTATTATAGATGTGTGTATGTGTGTGTATGTGTGTGTGTGTGTGTGTGTGTGTGTGTGTGTGTGTGTGTGTGTGTGTGTGTGTGTATGTGTGTGTGTATGAGTGTGTGTGCGTGCGTGCGTGCGTGCGTGCGTGCGTGTGTGTGTGTGTGCGTGTGAGTATGTGTGTGTGTGTGTGTATGTGTGTGTGTATGAGTGTGTGTGCGTGCGTGCGTGCGTGCGTGCGTGCGTGTGTGTGTGTGCGTGTGAGTATGTGTGTGTGTGTGTGTATGTATTTTGCATATATTAAAACCGATCAATTGTGTCATTACGCAAAAGTGAAAACGATTCATGGCTTAACATAGATATAAATTTGATTATGTATTGACTGTAATTCGGCTGTACGTTTTCCAAAAAATAAATAAATAAAATTTAAATAAATAAATATTAGTAGTATTTGTTATTTTAACGTACCGCATGGACATCCAACATGTCGACTGTGAGATCATATGTGCTGAGGTTCATCGACTGGAACACCGCCTTCAGGGTCATCGGTGTACCCTTGTGAAGAGTCACCACCTATAGTAGACAGATAGATAATTTATAACAGATATAGATGTACATAAAAAGCGAGATAAGAGAAATTGTTAAAAAAAAACATACGTAAAGCCAAGTACATTTTTTCCCTTTCGTGCGTGTGCCATAGCAATACAAAATGGTCACAACTCAGTTTATTGCTTCGCCCTCAAAAGAGCAAAGCACTGATATTCTGTTGCGGCCAAAGGGAATAGGGTAACAATAAAATAATACTACCAGATTATCCATACAGTAAACAGACAGATATGACAGTCTATCTAGCAGACAAATGGAGCATAGAGGTAACTTGCTGGAATGTCTAACTTATATATATATATATATATATATATATATATATATATATATATATATATATATATATATATATATATATATATATATATATATATATATATCCCGGCGAACTTCGTTCCGCCTAATAACAGTTGATTCTTTAACTTTTTAGTTGTTTTTATTATGATACCTACTTAATTTCATTTTCTTTTTACTTATTCCAAATTAAGTTATATTTTTATTAACAATAGCTGTACCCGCGACTTCGTCCACACGTGAGGACTTAGTGATGGCATGCACGTGAGCTACCTAACGTAGCCTAAGTTACTCTTTATTACATTAGCTACCTGCCAATAAAAGCCCCGTCAAAAGCGGTCCAGCAATTTCAGAGATTAGCCGGAACAAACAGACAAAAATTGTAAAAAAAATTATTTTGTTGTATATACCGTATATATATATATATATATATATATATATATATATATATATATATATATATATACATATAGTAAAAAAAAACAGTTATTTCAATATTACAAACAGACACTGCAATTTAATTTATATGTATATATTAAATAAAACAACAACGCACCTCATCAGCATGAGTCTTTAAGGTCTTCTTTATGAAACGCAGCAAATGTTTCTGATTCATACAAGATGCCGCGTGAATGTGTGTGTCAACTTTCCTGTAATAACAAAGTACATATGTATGAAGTTAATCAAAATGTGTTATTGTACAATTAATCAAATATATTTTTATCCGTTTAAAAATATTGAATGAAATGCAATATAACTACCAGAGGAAGACTGTGCAAAAATCGTTTGCTTGGGTACCTCTGTCCCATTCGTATTTCAACCGTAAAGCAGTTGTGTTTCCATGGCTGTGTTTCGGTTTGAAGGGTGAGATATGGCGTGAATTTACAGGGTACAGAGGAATAACATCTAAGTCCTCAGAAATAGCAATGCATAGGGGGTATCATGGGCGAAACAGTATACTCTGTTATGTTCACGGTACTGCTCATGTCTATAGGCGACTGTTGCCATTTTCCATCAGGTGGGCCGTCAGCTTGTTTGCCATTTTAAGTTGTACAAAAAAAACATATGTGTATTTTACACACAACAAAATATAACAAAAAAATTAAGGGTTATTATTATTATTTTTTATACCACTGAGGTGGTAAACAAACAAACGGCCCGCCTAATTGTAAGCGGTTACCGTAGCTTATGAACGCCTGTAATACCAGGGGTATTACGCGCGCGTTGCCAACCCTGAAGAAACCTCTTTACCCCCCTTTTGAAGAACCCCATGCTGTAGTCTCTCAAAAGCAGTTCTGTAGAAAAACCTCAGCAGGGAACTCGTAATTAATTAAATCTTAGTTCATCATATCATCATATCAGCCTTTGACTGCTGAAACTAAGCCTCCCCTTGGGGGGTTTCGCTAGTAGTTGCCACGCTTGGCTGGCGGATTGGCAACAGTAGTTAGGTTTAGACATGTTTTAAGAGGGCACTGCTTCCCATCCCCCGTCCTCCTTAGTCGCCTCTTACGACACCCACGAGAAAGAAGGGGGTGGCCTATTCTATGCCGGGACCAGACGACCAATCTTAGTTCGTCGCCCTAAAAACATTACACGATGATTATTTACTGATATATTTAAGACATCTACCTGATGTTATAGAAGTCCCTGTGTGGCACCGCCTTCTGCGAGGCCAACTCCCGGAGCTCGTTGAGCAGAACATGCAGCTGGAACTTGGAGGAGAGGTAGCTCAGCCGCCGGTAGCAGAACGACTTGCTGCAACAATATTGGGGATTGAAAATATACGAGCCTCTTGAAAGGTTTGTAGTAATCATCGCTTGTACTGGGTAAAATCAAGTTAGCATTGTAGCACGTTTTTCCACTGCAGCATCCAATTTATAAAAATCTGTTAATATGTTAGTTTTTTTTTATATGGCAACAGTCATTTTACTAGACAAGGTTGGACTTCTTGTAATGACCACACTACTAAGAGTTGTGTAACAGAGAAAACAGTATCGTCTGCATCTCTCTCTCACCTGCGCCGCCATCATAAAGCTACATTGTATTTTGTCCTCTTAATAGAATAATAAAAACACCTTTGTTAATTGACCCAGAGCAGTATAATTATCCAAAAATCCCTATAAAATGAAAGTGAAACTTTGGATAGATGCGTTGTGTTACGTAAATAATAAGAAAAGAAGTTTTTTCTTTCTTTTTTCTTTGGGAAAATTGTTAAAATTAAGAGTTTATAGGTCGCCATTGTTCTACAAAAAGACATACGTGTCTTACTAGACATACTAACAAACAAGCGACTTTTTAATTCAGTAGTTTAGGATGGAATTCAAAATGGAACCCCGAACTGTAGTCAATCGGTTGCCAACTCCTTCCAAAGGTTGCCTGGAAGAAATCTCTCTTGACGATAAGGCCGCCCATTGCTTTTTCAATATAATCTTTTCTTATAATTGTTTGTATTTATAATAAGTTTACTATTGTGATCTTTTGGAGGAAACAATGAAGAGCATCTATCTGCCTAACTATTACTGCTCATTAAAAAAAATACTCATTCGGAATATCTTGCACTAAGTTATGGTAATGCATGGGAGATCACAGCATATACCATAGTGTTGTTTATAATTAAATAGTTTATAAATAAAAACTTTTACAAAATGGGTCATTAGCTTGTTTGCCATTACTAGTTGCAAATAAAAAAAAATTGAATCATTACATAAAGAACGTTACATAAAGAAGTGAGCTTTAGTTTAAAACAGGGGTTCCCAAACAAATTTTGTCTACTGCCCACTTTGAGAATGAATTATTTTTTAGCGCCCCCATTTTGTCACCTACTTAAAAACCACTATTACTTCAAGATCAACAAATCACCCCCCAAGCCTCTACACAACGCCCCCATTTTTTTCTGAGTCTCTTAGCACCCCCCTTTAGGTCTGCAGCACCCACAAGGAGGCGTTATCCCCAACTTTGGGAAAGGCTGGTTTAGAACTATTCAATTATGCTACAAACTTACAGTGGACCATCAGCTATCATGCTGCACATAGTGTTTTTATCCTGGATGTACTGGGAGAGGTGAATGTACTCGTAGGGCACTCTTGTCTCCTGCCCGTCCTCGCCCTTCTGGTACAGATTGAACACACCTCGATCTGACTTGATGATGTAGCCTTTTGGCTCTGGCATTGGACATTCCCATGGGTCTTTATCTTTGTGGAATGGCGGATGAACTATGTTGTCTGCAAGCGAAATAAATTCCTTCATAGGTTGCCCTTTAAGTGTTATTATGAGGGGGAGAAGGGATTATTAGTAATGGGGATTAGCATCCCCATTGCTAGCAATAAAGCTTATTAGATTAACCTCCTCGCGATCCTCCCTGGAAACCTTTGTGATTGATTTATTGTTGAATTCGTCACGATGGGCTAACTGACCTGCTTCATCCTCACCTATCATCTCTCACTGGTGCCCCGCCAGTATATACCGATAGCGCAGGCGGGGTTGCCATTCCATTATCATCACTTAAAAGTTATCATGATTATGAATGAGGTCTGTCAAGAAACTTCTTCGATTATTCCTTACTTATGTTTTAAAAAAAAAAAAAATATTTGTTTACTTTTATAATCTATAATAGGGACGCTAAAAAAGAAAATTCTTACCAGCAATATGACTTCTGGGCAGTTTAGCACTTGGCACGTGGTTGGCCATTGCCTCGGCGTCCATGCTGCGCACAAACCGCGCCGTTATGGTGGAAAAACTTTGCTGTGACATTTCCATGTACTTCTTGCGTATCTCTAGAGCTTGCACCAGGTACGATGAAGCCTGCTGCAAGTCTTCTAGTGGTACCTAAAGTTAACATAAGATCACTCTATAATAGAATAAGAGTATGAATCCGAATCTAATCATGAAGACTTTGTCATTTCATACTGAAATGAACATTGCTTTGTTTCATGAATGTATTAAAATTGAATGAATGAAGAAGTAAAAAGTAATGTCCATATTCCATCTTTTAAGATAATGCTGCCATTGTAACTTACACCCGAGGTGTCCTCCCCGCTGATAGCGACCCTCTGGAAGTGCGGCAACACGACGTCCTGCTCGTCCTCATCAAGTACCCTGAGCCGGGCTGCCTCCTCGAACACGGCCGCGGCGCCACCTGCCTCGCTGCCTGCGAATGAACGGGCTGACTGTCCGCATTCTGCTGCCCTGAAAGCCAAACCGTGAATGTAAATAAAATGTAAGAATTAGGAATAGAAGGTAGAGGCGTAGAAGACGGAGCTATATTATTATATGTATTACATCTCCCATATCTAGAACTAACAACATTTTTCATCGTGCCTCCTACCAAATTGTTTATAATTACTCCTCTCCATCCAAAGGTTGGCTGGAAGAGATCGCTCTTAGCGATAAGGTCGCCCATTGTTTTCTCATTGTGATTATTTCTTGTAATTATTTATATTTATAATAAGTTTACTATTGTAATCTTTTGGAGGTAACGATAAAGAGTATCTATCTATCTATCGAAATGCTTCTTAATTGCCCACTAAATACCTAATATTCAAATACGATCAACCATAGAGTTTGAACTAGCGAAAACTAATATGGAAAAAACGCACTTTAGTACTTGACGAAGACCTTGTAACTTTATATAAAATGTATTTATTATTAACTCTTTCCTATCTGACGGTACAAATTTGTATCGGGTGATTCCCCGTCCATTATTTCGATAATACGATCGCGCATTCCATATTTGACATTAAGGATCCTTTCAAGTACTACTACGCTAGCCAATCACAGTGATTTATTTCAATTTTGCCTATTTACCGCTAGCAAGTGACACTTTCAAGTTTCGACCTGTTTCGGATTTGAGAACTGCAGATTGCTTTTGTTTTAGAAAATATTTAAAAATAGAATAAACGAGGTAAGTCTTATTGTTTTATATTAATATATTACATTGTAGTTTTAACTATAAAATTAATATTGTTTTAGTTATAAATTTAAATTTTAGAGCTAAAATAACGATAAAAATGTACCAGGACTTATGAGTACCGCCAGTGACTATGGTTTGTTTTTTGTAAATTAGATCGAATATATTATGATATTTGTTTATCTTATATTACAGATTTTTATAATGAATATTTCAAAGAATACAGCTTTGATAGAAGATCTTTTTATGGAAGATCTTCCAGACTGTGCCGACACTTCAGATGTGGAATTTTCTGACGAAGAAACCATTCGCGAAGAACGACTACCCTCAACTAGCAATTTTGATGAAAATTTTGAGGCAGCATTAGAAGAATATATGCTGAGCCAAACTAAACCTACTACAGGATATGAGACAGAAGATCCTAGTAGGGAAATAGACCAAGAGCTAATTGTATATTCTATTCCTAACACTATTCCAGATAATTTACCGGCTCAGAAAACTGTTACGTCAACACATGCACAATCCAAAAAAACAAAACATGAGCCTAATCGTAAATGGAAGAAACGTGATGTGGAAACGTATTTACCAGAATATTCTGCAAACACGGGGGTCGTTGACGAATATTTTGCTGAATGCACTACGCCGACTGACATTTTTTTAGTCCTGATTAGTGATGTACTGGATAATATTGTGTATCAAAGTAATTTATATGCAACACAAAGAAATAAATTTCTCAACTTGAAAAAAGAAGAACTACTGGCTTTTATCGGAATGAACTTCTATATGGGGTACAACACTCGGCCTTCATGGACAGACCATTATTCATCGGCACCTGATTTGAATAACCCCTTGATTTGTAAAACTATGCCTAGAGACAGGTTTGCAGCAATTTTGAGCCATCTTCATTGCAATGACAACACGCAAATGCCTTCCAATTGCAAAGATAAATTATATAAAATCAGACCTTTCATTGATGCACTGAATAAAAAATTTCAAGAATGTTATTATGGAACTAGAGAATTGAGCGTAGACGAGTCTATGATCAAATTTAAAGGTAGGTCTGTATTGAAACAATATCTCCCTGCGAAACCGATAAAAAGAGGGTATAAACTATGGTGCCTCGCTGACCAACGCGGTTTTATTAAAAACTTTATAATTTATCAAGGAAAAAATGACGAAATAGCTGTAAAATTTGCAGATTATTCACTGGGAGAAAAAGTTGTTCTACAGTTAACCGAAAAAGAATGGGGCAAACAGAAAGTTATTTATTATGATAAATTTTTTACATCTATTGCTTTATTAGAAAAATTGAAAACAGAAGGAACTTATGCCTGTGGAACTATAAGGTCTAACCGTAAAGGTATTCCCAATAATCTGGTAGCTGACTCTAAACTGAAGCGTGGCCAATATGATTACAGATTTTCTAATATGAATATTGCATATTATAAATGGAAGGACAACAAAATTGTACATTTGGCTTCTAATTTTCATGGCAATGATGAAGCTACAGTATCGCGCAAAGAAAAAAATGGGTCTAAATCTACAATCACCTGTCCAAAGGCCATCAAAGACTACAACTCTTACATGGGGGGTGTTGATACAGCAGACAGATTGAGAGCACTATACTGCGTGGACAGGAAGTCCCCAAAATGGTGGCACAGGTTGTTTTGGGGTATTCTAGACATTACATTTGTAAATGCATATATTATTCATGGACTCATAATGGAAAAGACACCTGTAAAAGAATTTAGGAGATCCATTGCGCAAGGGTTGATGTCTATGAAGGACATCAAAGATAACAAGAAGAAAAGATTATCAAAAGACCCTGTGCTTAGTCCTGGGCCATCTAAAAGGCGCAAAACTGGCTTCTCAACGTTGAAAGACGTTCGATTAGGAAACCGCGGTGTACATTGGCCTACGTTTGTGCCAAATAGAGGGCGATGTGAAGTATGCAGCATGAAGAAAGTGCAGTCAAAACCTCACTCAAAATGTTCTCACTGCAATACATTTTTGTGCATAAATGAAAAAAAGAATTGTTTTACAGAATATCACGATGTTAATGTATAATTGCTTTTTAATTTTATTATTAATTCGAGCCAAAAATAAATATCTAATGTTTCTATTTTATCAGTCCTTTTTTACCTAAAGTTTTTGATGGTACTTATAAGTCTAGGTTACGAAAATAGTATCTAGATATAATAAATAAATCTGAAAAAAATTGATTAGTTTTCTTTACTACCCCTTATCCATACAGAATCATAAAAACTTTGTTTTTCATTATTTTTGGTATATTCGCTAGGAAAGGGTTAAAGCATGTTTGCACACTTAGTGTTAAAGAAAAGAGACAAATTATAAGAACTATTGAAGTCACAAAGGAAAAAATGTTAAGACATTTGATACGACACGACGAACTTATGAACATTATAACAGAAGGTAAGATAGAAGGAAGGAGGGGACGAGGGAGATCGAGGCATAGTTACATCAGGCAGATCAAAGAAGGAGTTGGTGTCGTGTCGTATCAAGAGGTGAAGAGACTCGCTGAAAATCGTAGTGAGTGGCAAGAGCTCCACCGACAAGAGCGCAGCTCTTAAATAGGATAGATAGAAGTTTGCACAAGGACAAAGTGTAACAATGATCCCTACACTAGGCTGAGTCTTTTTATTCATTTTCATTGTTAGGTATCGGTTCAAAACAATAAAATAAATATTTAAAAAAAAAACACAATCAAAGAAATCGCTTCAATTTAGGAAAAGACTAGATGTTGTAAAAACGGGTACGTGAAGGGAAAAATTAGTTAATAATAAATACCTACAATAAATGTACTTTAATAAACTTTTTCTTAATACAAATATCTTTTTGAACGTTCTTTTTACGGCTTCGCGACTTTCCCCGACTCCATTGTAGAGGCTCGGAAACCCTCCAGGAGATCGCGACCCACACTTTGAAAAATACTGGCTTGCAATATCTCACTTTAAAATATGCCATATTGTCATTCGAAACAGATAATCACTGGTACAGAATGTACTGAGAACACACATTCCTCGCCGATAACTTTGTATGCATATAGATACTTTGAGAACAACAGTAACTAGATAACTGCGTTTTTAATATATTTTGAACCTTATCGTAAGGGAAGACAATTTAAAATTAATAATTTTATAGCTAATACTGGTACACTCGTAGCAAACTGCAGAGTGGATATCAACATCTACTTACATACTTATACTTATTTTATTCGAATTATTATTTGTTATTTCAAGTAAAGAAGAATCAGTTTACTGCAAGTATTTAATAACGAAAATAAATAATCAGCTGACCGTCCACCTTATGGGGATTTAGATGAAGATTAATCTAACTGTATTTAATTTTTAATGTATAGCATTGAATGAATCTAATTATACGCCATACTAAGATTTTTATTGTTAAAATAACACAATTAACATGGAAAGGTTTCGCTGGAAGAAATCTCTTATTAGAGATAAGCTCGCTTCTGTACATTATGTTTATAATGAATTGTGATTAACAGTATGTTTTGTGTACAATAAAGAATAAGATTATATAGATATTATCAGAGATAGAGCATAAAGCCTCAAAAAAAGGTCAACTTTTCGTCAGCTAATTACCACATTATTACGTTATTATTTCTCAAGCATAATTGTATGAAAAAGTTGATCCGTTTTTCACGAAGCATTTGTATGGAGACACTCTATCTATATAATTCAAGAGGCCATATGTTAGAAGTTCTCCTTCTTTCTGTTTTTTTCCTGTATCTATATGGGATCAGGGTAAAAAGTATTGATCTTCCATTCATCTCTATATTCCTATATTAAAAGTAATTAAACACACGCTAGGATATAGGTACACGGTTAAAACATTTTTTTATGATTTTTGGAATGGCAAACAAACTCACGGCACTCCGCGTTGTATAGTTTATGGTTTGTAAAAAAATAAAATTACATAGAGTATAGCTGTTTATACTAATGTCGAGTCCAAAGCAATGGTTACTGCTATATGTATGAACACAGTTAGCAATAAAATTCTATTCTATTCATATAAATAATAAATAAAACCCAGGTTAATTAGTTTACCTAAATGATCGCGTTAACTCCCGTCTTATAGACCATAAGCTTACCACCTGATAGCAAGCGGTAATTATTACCTATAGGAGGGAAAGGGATTGTTAGCAATGGAGTTTGACAGCCTTATTACCAGCAATATGCCCTATTAGGTTGACCTCCACGCGGTTCCCCCTGGTAACCATCGTGAACAATTCTTGTTG